GAAATTTATTAATCTTATCTTCCATTAATTTTATATTTAATGCAGATTCCTTTCGTTATAAAACTATTTTTATTTTCGTATAAGAAGCATTAATAAAAGCTTCATAAACTGAGGTGAATTAAGAAAAAATTGATTTAATTGGATTTCTTTTACAATATTTAATTTTCGTAATATGAATCCTCCTTTGATTCCTCTTCCTTTGTGTTTTTTATTCTCATTTTGCCGTCATGAAATATCCCTATTTTATCAGCCGATTTCAATAGTTTTTTAAATTATATAAACAATGACCAATTCTGATTCGGCTGACTCCATTTGAATCAGAAACTTTCGCCAAGGAATCACTTGGAGGCAGAAGCAGAGTTGGGTCCTCTGCCGGCTTCCCATTTTAACGACCAATTCCTTCCTTTAAGGAACAAATACTGGTGGCTTAACCTTAGTCGAAACAATTGGCTATCATCTTCCTGTCGTTTCTTATATTTTAACTATTATTCAAATGCATAGCAACTATCGGAAGATCACCTCAATGATATGCGGCATTACCTGGTTTTTTTTTCAAACTTTTGCAAATGTTTTTCACTTATGAATTTCTAATTCCATAAATCTTTTTTGTAGATATTTTATTGAGCTGATATTTCATAAGTATCTTCTTTTTGGCTCCTATTCATTGAACTAGTATTTTTTTAAAACGCTCACCACTGCTGGTTAGACTCGCTTCACTGACTTGTCGTACAAAACAAATATGCCATGGAGTCCTTGCAGGTGAGTCGTCAGCATCACCCAGATTCTTCGATAGACTTATTTTTGCGGGGAGTAGAACCTCAGCATCGGCCCTACGAATTGGGCAATAACCCATGGAACCATTCCAACAAATGCCTATATCTCGGAATGTTATCACTTAGATTTCCGCTACTCCCCTGTCTTACCATTGTCGATGTTAAACTTTAAACTGTTTTTAATAGCCTTTTCTGCCTATCCTGAATCACTTCAACATAATTTTTTTATTGGAAATAGCTAATATCTGCGAATTTCACTTATAATCTAGCATCTAGCTAGCTTTTCAGTGAATTTTTTTATGAACCTCATTTTTCCTCTCTTTCTAAGAACTCCTTTTATTATTTCCGTCAACGATGAGAGAATTAAAAAAATAACGACAAACGAACTAACCAAGCGACATTATTTGTTGTTTGTTTAGTGAATGGAAGTATTCCTAGTAAAAAATTTGATTCATTTAGGATTATTTGCAAAAAAAAAAAATTTTCTTAGAATATGCAAATAAGACAAATAAAACGAATTTCAAAAATGATTTTTTTTCCGTTTGCAAATCTTTTTTGGAGCGCTTATCATTACTGGTTAGGCTTCGTCCCGCTGGCTCGTCGGATCAGACAGAATTTTGTTAGAGAGCCATTCAATGATAAAAGTAGCACACGGTTTTTCGAAAATAGGCTAACTCCTAAGATTGAATTCAGCAGCTGCGCTTCGAAATGAGAATAAAAATCCATTGAATCTACTTTCCAAAAAAACTCTAACATTTTTTTGGAAATTCACTTTATTCCAAATTTAAATTGATATTGAAATTTCGTAAATTCAGTAATTCTGAAGAGTTTTCATTATTTTTCTCTGATAAAAGCTTGTAACCTGCAAAACTCGTATTTTATGAAACTAACGGTTCGGAAAGCTCTCTTCTTTAAACTTTTCATCATACTGATTCATGTTGATCCCTGGAGTTATTTTAAATCTTATGAGCTTAAATCTGGAATCTATTATTTGCGGCTGATGTTTCGTCAAAGATAGGAAAGCTGCATTTTTATTGTCTCTTCCTGATTGCGAGTATTTAAAACCTAAAACCTTTTAGTTTAAATTAATAGCACAACTGGACAGTTATAATCAGTTCTAATTCATTTGGCAAATTTAACTTTAACTCAAACTTTTGTATTTGGCATTCAGAAGCAATGACCGATACCATGATGGGACTTAAAAATATTTTAACTGGTCAAGTGCCGAGTACATTTTATGCTAACGGCATATTTCTTCCCTAACTTGATAACGCACTTAACACGTATTTCTTTTCCGATAGATGCGAACATGAACGTAGGCGATCACTCGTCGCTTTTATATTTTCTAGTATTTATGGCTTATTTGAGCTATCAGTGAGAATAATCCGACAAACCTCGAGCTGAGATCAATTTTATTTATTTTACCAATTTTGATTAAACTTGAAGTAAATTTAATTTTTAATAAGTAAATTTAAGTAAATTTAATAAGTAAATAAATAAGTAAATTTAACCGATTATTAAAAATAATAGTAAATATTGATTTCACCATATTCTTTATGATACATTTATTAAAAAATTTATTAAATTTATGAAATTATTTAATTTAAATTTATGAACTTCTTTTTCCTACAATATGCGCCGCTTCTGGCTCTTTAGTTAGCTACGTTCTTAGGATTAGAAACCTCCTCACTTGGTCACTTGGAGATAGAAATGTCAGCACATGCGGACTTCACTTTCACTAACAGCTTTATTCCCATCAAAGGAGAGCAACTTACGAATCCTAGAAAATAATTTCATTTCAACCGAAAAACCACTACATCCATAAATCGAAATATTTCTTCTAATATTTTTATTTCTTCAAAATCGTTTTCTTTAGTGATTGATAAATTAAATGCCATATTTTGCGTTAAAAACTCTGGATGCGAGCATTCATTCTCTTCGTCGTTTTTCAAGCGTTGTTATGCATCGATTTATTGGCTCACTCGGACTATTCCCCACTTGCTTAGCTCCTTTATTGAATTTTATTCTATATTATATTTTCTTATCACTGTTAGAGAGTAAGAGAGCTGAGTGCAAGATGGTAGATTATCATATTGGAAGGCGATGGTTCGGGTCCTACCAGCTGGCCGGCAGGTAGGAAACTGGTGGAAAAACCTGTCATTGAAAAACTTGAGTAATTTAGGCGATCAACAGATTTTTGTTGAGTGATTCACTAGCAAAACCATGTTAATAGCCAGAGGAACCAGCTTAGTTTGAAATTATGAAGTCTAACCACTCACTTAAAAAATCTAGAGAATGTTGGTTGGAGAGTACTCATGGTCCGAATAGTGATATGAATCCACCTAAAATTTTATAAATTTTACCTTCTTTTCATTTCTCAGGTTTGCGTATTATCAACAGAGTTTATATCAAGAAAATCAAGTCAGTGGCAAGGTGATTGCTACCGAGAATCGAGGCTTGGATTCGAATCCTGTGAACGCACGACATTTCCTGGGGCGGTGGTGTTGCCTAACGGGAAAAGCAAAGGAAAATAGAATAATTCAGTGGATTCTTGCTCAATTCGAAGCATCGATGCTGAGGTCCTACTCCCGGAAGGAGTAAACTTATCCAAAATTCGGATGAAACTAGCGACTTATCTATACTTCTATTGCCAAGGACCCCTTAGCATATTTTTCTGGTGTGACAAGCCGGAGGAGGGAATCTAATCAGTAATAGCGAGTGCTCCTAAAAAAAAAAAATTCCCAGGTGCTTTATTTTTCTACATATTTTTAGGCGAATATCTTTAATTTCGTGAGGATTTTGGGGTCTTTTTTATCGGAAATCAAATTTTTTTGATTTTTTATTTAAAGTAATTTTTCTAATTATTTGTCACTCTGCTATTTTTTCCATACAATCTCACTTATCATTTCCTTTCATATTTCATTCTTTCCTTTCATTTCCTAAATATTTTCCACATTTTCAAAAATCAGCTGATAATTTATTTTCTTTACAATTTGTCTGCCATATAAAATCCCATCTAAATTAGCTTGATAAGTTCATATCTACGAGGAAAATATTTTTCTTCTAATACACTGACTACCACAATGAGAATGCAGCACTAATCAGCATTAAAACCATCCACACTTCCGCATTTCTATTTTCTCTCTCTGGCGAAAAGATCTAATCCTACATGTTGAAGGGCTAATTAAACGAGAGATTATGAAGAGATGAAAGAATTTAGATGGAAGAGATGAAAGAATTTAGATGACCTAGTTCCACTGATTACTTGGGCCAAATCCTCCGATCGGGAGGTTTCCTGGGAAAGATCCACAGTAACTGCCTTAAACCTGCCAAACTTCCCCCCCTGTTTCACATAACGACGTTTTTGCGTTTCGTCTTGGCTTGGTTTCGGCCTTTCCTTTTCGCTCCACATCAAGAGATTTAGAATTTTACAGCTCTATATTAAAATTGAAGATGACGATTCCTGCCAATACATCAAGTTTATAAAGTAATTTTGCAAAAATCATTCAATAATTGGAAAATACCATTGTCTGCTTCCAATTTCAAACATTTCGGGCAGAATCTTTCAACAGTTTTTCGCTTTAGGACGAAATGTGCGTGTACGCTTTCATTACTATTTGGCAGTTTTTGATGGTCTTAGTTTAGTGTGGTTGCTTTCAGATATTCCTTATTTTTCTAGGAGGGGAGAGTGACCTGCTTTATTGCTTTGTGCTTGGTTTCAGATTTCGGAGGAGGCAGTCTTCTTTTTTCTTTTTAGGGGAATATAATTAGTTTTAAGCTGAGAATATTTTTGGCTCGTTTCTGGAGTGAATCTTTATTTTAACAAAAGTTAATAAAAGTTAAAACAGCAGAATATTTTCTGCTAGGCTGATTCCGGGAACTGCTCGGGTCGTGTCCATTGGTGAGGAAATAACCGCAGAATATTTTCTGCTAGGCTGGTTTCGCGAACTGCTCGGGTCGTGTCCATTAGCTTTTATTTAATAGAATATATTTTGTTTTGATTTGATAAATAGCCACAGAATATTACCTATTAGGCTGGTTCCGCCTGGTTGAGATCTTAGAACTAAGCATACAAGCAATTGCGATTAATAAGATCACATCTATTAAAGCATATTCGAAACTTATTGTAGTAGAAGAGAGATTTTTTCCTACTTCCGTGTTTTATTTTGTTTTTTAAGGAATTTCTGAAATATTGTTGGAGATAAACTTGTAAAATAACAAGCAAAAATGCAAACTATCGAGAAAGCGTTACATCATCCAATGCCATTTACAACCGGTGGACAAACAATAACTGATCGACTTACTGCAGCAAAACATTCATTAGCTGGAAGTCAACTCGGCAAGACGATATGTAAAGCAACAACTGAGGAATTAATGGCACCAAAAAAGAAACATCTTGATTGTTTGTTTTTTCTTTTTTTCATTCTCTGGTTTGGCTTATTGCACCAATTTCTTCTTTCGAATTGGTCCCATATCTGAAATTAACTGAAGCTATCGTACTAGCCACAGGTCTCTATTCTAATTTCATATTTTCTTATTGTATTAATACAAATCTTGATTGGGTTTCCTTGCTTTTGATAACAACGAGATTTGGAGGTATGCTTCTAGCCGTGAATCTTTGAATTTTGTCGAACTGATGAATTTACCAGTGATGTAAATATAAATAAAATAAGGTTTTTATTTGCTATTCGAAATTTAGATGTTAATGCAAATTAGTCGCATAATTTTGTTATTTACTTGGCTTTTAAGGAGATTCATATAAAATAAAATAAGTGAACTCAAGAATTTTTTTCTTTATTATTACTTCATCTAATCTTTTTTGGTTCGGTTTTTTATTTATCACAACAGTCTTTTTTTGGATGTTTTTTTTTAGATTTATTGCATTGTACGAATGAACCTAATGTTTCTATACCATCGATGGCAAATCTTCTCATTGAACGAACGCAGAATCCCAATTGGACTGTTGTTTATAAATCACTTATTACTATTCATAATATTATGTGTTATGGAAATGAGGTCAGTTTTCATAATTTTTTAAAAAATCGGTAGTACAAGGACTATTTACACTATTATTTGCTATTTGTAACTATTATATTATATTAAGATCTGAAATAGGGATTGAAAAAGAATTGAAAGAGGATTTTCGAGGATTTTCTAAATTCTAAACTTAAAATTTTCAACAAATTTCAAAAATTACATGGGAATTCAGTGGAGGAATTTTTTTTTTGATAATAAATTTACGAATTCCTTGGAAAAAATTGAAATTTGAGACAAATTTGTTTTCGTTCAACTCCCCTTTATTTGTCAATAAATATTCTTTTGATTTTGATTTAATATCATTTTTTGATGAATATTTGATGAAATAGGTTGGTTAATCCTTTTTGATATTTATGTTAATTTATGAAATTCTTTTTTTTAAAGAGATTTTCTCAATATCTTGCTTCGTGCAATACAACTTTCAATTTGGGCAACTTTCTTGACAAAGGATCAGCTCAAGGTAAGTACTTAGTTTTTTAGTGGCATTTAACAAGCTATAATTTATTTGAAGTTAAAATGTGCTTAAAATTAAAATTAAAATTAAAATTTTTGCATGTATTATTTCTTTGGTTGTTTGGTTTTTCTTATGGAATGCGACTATATTATAAATTAAATTAATTATCATTCTTCTTTTTTCTTCTAACAACTCTCATTATCATTGGTTAGGCTGGATGCTCTGGCTACAAGAATAAAACGTTTTCAAAATGCGTTATGCCATCGTCGACAGTAATAGAAGCCATGCCATTCCTCCCTTTTCCATTGTCCAAGTCTATATATTGATGGTCTGCCTATACGTTCAAAATCTTTCCGGACTGTATTAATCCAGGTCTTTATTGATTCACCTCGCTTTTCACGCCATCCATCGCAGCGCTTAGCAAGTCTGTATATCTGTACCTGTATCTGTATGAAACTCTTGTGGTGGGCGACAAAGAACGTGCTCTAACTAGCGAAGGTACGCTCTTTGATGGTACTGTTAAAGTAAGTGGTACGAAGGTGGATGCGTTTGTATGAGAGTTTATCCACTCGACGAACCAGCAAAATATATTTTAGGCATAACTGGTCAAAGGCAGATAACTTCTTAATGCCCTCAACTTTCATGGCAATTTCTCGCAGCAATATAGCTAGATCGAGCAGCGAATCACAGCTATATAGACTCGGACTTTCCTTTTTTATAGTGATTTTGCGACAGCTGCATAAAGGTTTTAACCGCATTTCTAATTACTGCCATCCGGCTTGTAATTTCATCTTTTGCCTGGTCATAGAGTGGGTCTAAGGTATTAAAGTTGGGCACTTCCTTAACCGGCAAAAAATTTACAAAAATAGGTATTTTGTAAATTTTGTCAGATTCTTGTATATGAGACGAAAAGCCTTTATTTTTATTTTCATTGACTCGATTCTGACTGCAATTGATGACGTTGTTTCAGCATTATTTGCATTTCGTTATAAATGTCAACAAAACGAATAAGTATATTCATCAACAGCATATTCAAAATCTATGGTTCGGTGCTGTGGACTGATTTGTATATCCCTTGACTGCTGACAAGATATGTCCATAATCCAGTCTATCGCATAGTTAAATATTGTAGGAGGAAGGACTTTTTGTTCTTATTTCTATCAGTTCCCCATATACATAGATTTACGCCGACATGTTGAAAAATACCTTTATGAATAATCTTCTGTGGAACATCGCTTTCCATCATTCTCCAACGGCACTTTGGAGTGCCGTTTTATCAACTGAATCGAAGACAATTATGAAAACGACAGAATGATAAAACGATATGACAGTGGGTCGCAAATATTTGAAACGATGTTCCAACACCCTTAATGTGAATATGTGGTCAGCACAACAGCAATCTGATTTGAATCTACCTTGATTTCCTTCTGTCCCGTAGTTCCATAAGTTTGTTGAGTAAAAGGGAAATAAAAATTTTTGCTGAGACGTCTAGTAGAATGATTCTTTGATAATTGTCATAGTATATCCTGTCACCTTAGGAATTGGGAGCAGAATTGCTTCGCAACATTCATCTGTTATTATTCTTTCATATTAGAGAATCAATTTGTTGAAGGTGCTTTATAAAAGACAATAGATAACATTTGAAGCGTTCGGCTCATCTTCTCCTGGAGTTTTATTGGCCTTAAGTTTTTGAATGACAATCGCAAATGATAAGATTATTTGTTGGTGGTTGGCAGTGGCAAATACATGGCTCGACGCGCGAATCACCTATATACGGGATAATAGATGGTGCCACGTGGTTAAGTTCGGCCTTAAAGAATTACTTTTACCTTATAAGGCGATCCTTAATACACTTAACAGGCAGACCATGGCTATTCCATACCAATTCATTAATATCATTAATCATTCTCCGAGTTATAGTTGCTTTATGAAGAAAGCGGAATAATTTCTTATTATCGCTTAATAACTGCCGTTTTCCATATCTCTCCAGTAACGATTTCTGTACCGTGGTATTGCTGTCGTTGTAATTCTTTGGAATACCCGAAATTGGAATTTTCTGATATATATGCTTTGGTAGCATTTTCTTCCCATATCCAGCTAGCCCACTTCCTCCTAATATATCCATTCGCTTAAGTGGCTGACATTCCTTTAGTTTCATAGGCATTCCTTTAGTTTGGACTAATATTCATCTGCCGATTCAGAAAAATCATTGATACTGCCATTGAGATGCTTCAATAATTCGGTTGGGAATGCGCTCACTATCTCCGAATCTTTTATTTTAAGGTAGTAGAAAGAAAGATTTTGGAGAACGCTGTTTCTTGTCATTTTTTTGCCGATCTGGGCTTTAAGCATAACATGATCGGATCTATGAACGTTGTGCGCTTGTGCGCCGAAATAGGAACGACTATCAATTAAATAAATTGAAAGATGTAGTCAAACTGGCTGGAGTGTTTGTCTTACGGAGAGTTCCACGTGATTAGATATCTTCTCCCTTGCTAGAAACATATATTAGTAACAAAAAAGTTCATACTATTCGGCAAAATGAAAAAGACGTTCCCCATTGGCACACTGGACTCCTATGCCATATTTGTCAATTGTCGAGTTATTTGTTACTGCGGCAGCATCATAACTTACGAGCGCATCCCAGTCTCCCACGACAAATTCTTAATCATAACCTATTTATTTATTTGTTCAAAATTTTATTTTAATTCATTTATAGAAGAATAGAAAGTGATTCAAATAGCATTTAACTAAAATATTGTGGGTATTACCCACTGTGGGTATCCATTTCATTTATTTTATTCAGCCTTTCAAGCCATTTTCTGTCTTTTTTTTTCAATTAATTAAATCTCCATTTAAATTTAACCAAGCATTTTTTTTGCTGTTTTTTTAAATGCGTTTTCTAAGCATGCATGTTATCTCTTTTAAAATAATTTTATGTTTTATATGGTACAGGTCGTCATTTCAAATCGGATTATAAATATTCTACATCTCGAAATTGGGCTTCACTCGATTCAGTTCTAGTTGGTAATTTTCTTAAAAGCATTTTCCAGAATTTTTCGGTTTTGGCAAAAATATATTTTAAAAAATATGTTGGATCATCATTTTTATTGTTTCAGAAAATAATAATTTGTTAAAATTTTAATTTTAATATATTATTTTCAAAACAGCACTGAATAGAATATTGAATATAAAATAAAAGTGGCTTCTTCTTTTATCTTTCTTGATATCCTCGAATTCTTATAAAATTTTCAATCTGTTCAAGTGCTATATCTTCAATGAAAATTTCGTGTACTTAGTATTTATGAAATAGAACTAACAAATAGTTAAAAAATTAGTAAATATCGATAAATATCGATAAAACTAAGTATCATGAAGATTGTACCAAATATTTCAGTGGATTTCTCTTTCAAATTTTATTTTTATTTGTTTTTATTTCAGCCTTAAATTTATTTATTTTCATATCTTTCTAGTATAAAATTTAGAAAGTTTTTTTTTATTTCGTTTTTTTTTGTTTTCTTAAATTTAAAACTATTTAGATTTTTAAGCATGCTGGAATTTTTCTGTATATTTCGTGTGTTTTTATAAATATAATTTAAAAGTATTTGCGCAGTATAATTTAAAAGAATAGAATTCGCAGCTTTTGAAAACATTGCCAATACTTGAAAAATCTCTTGCGCATTTTTCACATGTTTAGTATTTATCACTGTTAAGATATTTTATCAAATTGGTGAAAAATCTCATCTTCGAGGCGAGGAATAGCAACTGCTTTTGCAATTCATTGCTCGAATAATACTATTTTTAAAATATTTGCGTAATTGTAGGTTATGATATGTCTCAACATGTGCGACGATATGGAAAATATATAAGCGAAAAGATTTATACTTATCGACTATGCGCGTTCGACTTCTGCAAAGTGAAGCGAGGACGTGAGGATGGTCTACTTCGGACAATGAGCGCTGATAAAGTACTAGTTTCTAAAAAAAAAATGGTTTTCTGATAAGGCTACGTTTTATTCATGCTGTAATTTTTAGTTTACTAAATACCACGTATTAATAATGTTATCACAAAGCGTTTCCTTCGCTGGTTAGGTTCTCCTTCGTCCACCACAAGAGTTGAGCATGTTTCGTTACTTGCTAAACCCTGTGATGGTTGGTGTCAAAAGCGAGGAGGGTCAGTCAAGACTTGGACTGATACAGTCAGGAAAGATTTTGAATGTATAAGGGGACCGCCGATATATAGACTTAAGCGATGGAAAAAGGAATGGCTTCACAACAAGCGATGGCGTCGGACCGAGCAGCTTGGAGGCATCTTATTCTTGTAGCGGAGCAGCCTAATCAGTAATGATACCTGTTAGAAGAAGAAGTTTACTGAATAAATATAGTTGTAAAATCATTTATTTTTATTTTTGTGATAGTTTTTTTTATCCTGGATTGCTTTTAATAGAGAACTTAAGCTTCATTCATAATGATGGGGTTTGCTTATAATTTCATATTTGTTTACAGCTTTTGAAAACATTGCCAATACTTCAAAATCAAATCGATGCACTGCTTGAATTCCAAGTAAATTAGGATTTTTTTTATTCTCTTCATACGTTAGTTTTCGTAAAGTTTCGTTTTATTGATTTTGTTTTGATTTCTAACCTATTCATATTTAAACTATTCAAATTCTTCGTAATTCTTAGTTATTCTCAAAATACTGATTCATTTTGAATTGATTCGAATTTTTTTATCGGCTTATTTTATAAATCGCTGATTTTAATTTTTTTTCATATTTAATTAAGTATTCTCTGCGTTTATTTTTTTTGATAATATACTATTCATAATATTTAGTTTCTAAATAATATTAATTTACCTATTGTAATTGTGCAAACTGTGGTTTGAATTCTTCGCAAATTTATCTATATAGTTAAAAGAAATTTTTTAAACAGTGCGTTATTTAACATTATTTCCCCTAAAAGTTTTAAGACATTAAACAATTCCATTATCTCTGTATAAAGCTCGATTTCAGTTACCTTTCTTTAGGTAACTTCTGGCGAATTGAATAATGGTGTGATTAACTGCTCATTTATTCTTTTATTCCGAGATCTTATTCGTCTTTTTGCTTGTTATAATGATGGTATTATAAATTTATTAGAAAAATATTTTGATATGAATAAAAAACAATGTCGTGAAGCTCTTGATATGTACAAAACATTTCTGGTAAGAAAAACTTATTTTCTTTTTAACTAAGGTCATTTTTGAGTATAAAATAATACGAATTCTTAAGCTATATTACAAAACTTTTGGCGGTAAAATGGTATTTCAGCAACGTTTAGAAAAAGTTGCTGATTTTCTTAAAGTAGCAGAAACTGTTGGAATTGATCGCGGTGAAATTCCTGATTTAACTCGCGCTCCAGCTTCCTTATTAGAAGCACTTGAAGCCCATCTGATTCATTTAGAAGGCGGCAAGCCTCTTTCATTTCCAAATGTAAGTTTACATTTATGTGTAATGTAAGTTTATTTGTGATTGAAATCGCTTTTATAGCAAAAAAATAGGAATGAAGGAAGAAAATAATATAAGATGGAAATTTTTTTGTCTTAATAAGTTTTTGAATTTTCAGAATGAGCAGGTGGCTTCAGCAATAGGTTATTCAGCACCGCTTTTTTCTTCTGAGAAAGTCGATGATTCTATGAAACAAAAATATTTGGAAGAAGAGAAAGAACGATTGCGAATGTTTGAGGTTGATGTTGATTTTTATTGCTAATTGGCTAAGTAGAGGGATTAACGGTAGTGAAATTTTGATAATATCGATTTTACCGTATATTTGGAACAATCCTTTTAAATTTTTTGTAGGAACAGCGTAAAAAGCAGGTAACAAATGTGGCTGGAAATGCGACTGTTGATTCACAACTTTTTAATCCATTTGCTGGTCCTACTCGACCAGCGGACGGTTCACAGCAGCTTTTATCCAAGCCTGCTGATGATCTTCTAAATTTATTTGATTCTCCTCAGCCGCAGATGGTTACACCGGTAGGTGTATCTATGAATACAACAATTCAACCTACGATGCCTCTTGATCCAACTAATCCTTTCGCACAAAATGTATTTCCTCAATATCCCCCCATGGTTAATGCGCCATCAGCCAGTACAGGTTCACAGTTATTATATCAAATTTTTATATCTTTTATAAATTGTTCACAGTTATTATATCAAATTTTTATATCTTTTATAAATTATTTTTTGATAGCATCATCTAAATCTGATTCTGTTACTCTGCCGACAGTAAGTTCTTTATAAGATTTAGATTTTTGACTATTTGATTTACTCATTGTTTCAGCTTTTAATGCGTATCCGCAAGCGTGCAATTCAGCTTTCGCTGCCAAATTTAATAGCAACTTCGGAAATATGCAAAAAACTGGAACTTTTCCAATTGATGTACATGGTTTGTTTTTTTTTAATTTTTTTGAGGCCATTTTTCATTTTGCTTTAAATTTCTATTATTCTGAATATTCGATTTATTGATTTTTTTATTTTTGTTATTTATTGTGTAAAATTTCATTGTATAAAATTCTGTATTATGAATGGGCATTTTTGTTCCTATTGTGTTGTTTCGTTCAATGTTGCCAAATGCAAAAAGTGATGTCGTGTTATTAGATTTTAATCTTTGAGGTTTGTAAAAATATAGATTATTTGCATGGATTCATTTGATTTGTTCTTCAGTTATGGGAATATGAAATTATTTTGTGGTAAAAAATTTCTACTTATTGTGACTTATTGAAAAAACGTTTTGAGAAGTAGAATGATATTTTTTGAAATTTTTTTTGAAAAGAAAAAATCAGAATAAGTCAAAAGTCGGAATCAGTCAAAATATCTATCATTTTTTTGTTAAAATTTATATAAATAATTGTTTATTTTGAAATTATTCTAACTTCTCCCTATTAGAAATTTCCTGACTTCATCTTCCTTGTTTTATATCATACAAGTTTATCGGTTCTATTAAGTTTATATTATCAAACTAGTAGGAATAATATATGAAGTTTGGCTTATTCCAGTGTGATTTGACAATCATAAAATAGTTTTAGAAATTATTAATAGAAGCTAATTATCCTCTATCAATTTATTTTTGTGCCTAATTTTTTTTATTATATCTATAGTGAATACACATGTCATAACTATTGCTGTAGATATGCTGTAAAATGAATAAGCATCTTAAATAAATAAATGACTAGTGGCTGTATAATTCTATCGAAAATATATTCCGTCTATATTTGAGCTGATATAAATAGAAAGGCAAAGTGATAGTGTATTTAAGCTGTTACGAAGTCTCAAGAAGGCGGAACAAATCCTTTTTTAATGACAACATCGGAACAGTGGCATCCATCTGAACAAATAACTGGTCAGCAATGGATCGCGGATAAAGTGGAGCAAAATATGCAACAACATTTTGAAACGAAAGGTGTAATGGCTGAATCAAATTTAAAAGGTGTTAGTACTATGTCTGGTGCTGATTCAAGTGAAAGCAGTGAAGAAACTGGTGAGGATATGGCACCCAGCGATACAGTTAATTCGGCCTTACATAATCCTTTCGGAGCCATGCAACAAAATGCAGAAGGTTGCTTCTTGATTTTACCGTTCCTGGATTATTTTAACATGTAATTTTTTTCAAAAATAGCTAACCATATTTTTTTCGCAGAATTTAGATAATCATGCATTCTAAAAATAATATCTAGATTGCCAGTCATTTTAATTTATGAGGTGAATTTTGTTCGTTAGTTTGGTGGCGGCCCAGTGGTTCATTGTTCTCATTTTGAGGTGCAGATGTATTCTGCCTTTGTCAGAAGTTGACCAATCTAATTTTCAAAAATTGGATGGTGCTGATGATCCACCTGCAATTCTATCATTAGGTGGTCTACAAAATTTTTCTAGTGCGGATAACCAGCGAGTCTAAACCGGAAATAGTGTCTAATGGAGTCTAACTGAAACTATTAGAAAAAAAATTGGGCAATAAAAATTAAATTTTTAGCGTTGCATATTGCTGGTGCAGGTCAAATTGTACTTACTCCACAGCGAATGGATATGCCTTTCTATCCGCCACCGTCTAGTCGTTCTTCAGGTAATTCATTTTCTTATATTTCTGTTTCAATTTTATGTTTCAATATTATTTAATCGCTTAAATTTCTTTTATTCATCCTTTTTGCAGCAGATAATTCCCCCGTACAATTTGATGCTCCTCACAACATTTCATCTTCCGCACCACAACCGATTCCACAGCCAATCCATCAGTTGGGTATATATGATCAGACACCCTTTTGTAAGTTTCCTTGGTTCTTTCGATTTCGAAAATTAATTGAACTGTTCATGAAGAGCATAATCCTGTTATTTTTCATTTCTTTTATGTCCTCTTGCCCTGTTTTGTTTTCTAATGTGTCAGATTTCGTTTTTAAAATTTCCATTTTTCTATGTTGAAGTTTTAAATTGGTCAGAATATACAATACATTCATGTTTAATTTCCAGTTTTTAGCCTTTTGAGATAATTCTTTTAAATTTATTTTTTTTTAGCCCATACAGATGGCAGTTATACATCTTCGCCAGTTTTTGCGCATCATCCTCAACAGGGTTATTTAGCCCACTTATTTGAATATTGCGAGATTTGTAGAATGTTTTTTCTTTTTAAATAGATTGTAATGATTTACAATTTAAGTTGTTTTATGCATGTTATATTGTGTTGTTTATGTAGTTTGCAGGTCATGAGCAATGTTAGACCGTTTTGACGTTTTCGCATTAATTTCATATTTCTTTTTCACAATTTTCTGGTTGTTGTTGTTCTTTTTTATTTTTATTTTCGCTTGTTTTCTATTTTCTAATAGTTTGTATATTTGATATGTTGTATCACTGCTATGGCCATTTTAGTTAATATTTTAAATTTGATATGATCTCGATTACTTGATATTAGTTGTGTTTCGATTTGGTTCATCGTGTTTTATAAATATGATTGTATTCTTCATTTAGTTTCGCATGTTAAATATAATATAAATATACATTTCTTATGAATATCAAATGTCCTTATTTTTTCTTGGTGACGTTGTTCATTTAGAATTTTTTATTTAATTGTGATTATTGTGATCTGTGTGAATGGCCTAGTTTCTACCTTTTTTTTATTGTACGGAATTTTTTTTTTTTTTGATCATTTCACGGGTTAAAAATTATTGCAAAATATAATCAATTTTATTTTTATTTTTTTTAGTTTTATTTATTTCATTTATTATTTTTTTCAGCAACAGCAAATGTAGATGCTTATGGATCACAACCACCACCATCGGCATCATCTGCTGTCGTTCAACAAGGAAAATTTGGCTGCGGTGATTTGGATAGTGCATTATCGTCATTAGCAGATAGTTTATCGATTGCTTCCAAAGGAATAGCCAATCAAGGGTTGGTACTTCATTTGTTTTCTGTTTTATCTATATTAAAGAAAATGCTTTTTATATTGTTTTGTTGGTTTTTGCAAATAACTTATTTAAATGCCATATTCAGTCAAACATTTTAGTTTTGTTTCAAAATTTTTTTTATAAAAATTTTAGGAAGCCTGTGCAGTGGAATAACCAAAGTGGAGTGCGGCCAATAATGCCGTCTGCTGTGACTCCAGCTGCGTATGGACAAGTGCCAGGCCCACAGTGGCAACCAGTGGGCGCCTATCATCCTCAGCAAGGTATGTGAGGGTAAGGTTGGCATAAAAATTCTCAGGCATTTCGTGCACTGATGTTATTTCATTTCTTAGGTATGTTTCCTCAACCTTTGATATATACTCATCCTGGTTTTGGACAAGTTGGTGCCTCACTTTATGGTGCATCAGTGCAACAACGTCCAACACAGCCACAGCAACCAAATGCTGGTGGTCAAACATCTACTGTTCCTCAGCAACATCCATTCATGTAGCATGTGAAGTAGCTTATTCTTTTCTGCCGGTTAATGTTTGTATTTGGTTTTTAATAATACAAAATCTTTGTGGTTCATTCTGCTTAGTAAAATTTGTTGGTATATCATTTAAGACTACAGTATATTTTTTTTCCTTCAACTTTGGTTTTATTAAAATATAGTGAGGTAAATTGTGGGACATACCAGTCAGATGCGTTGATTAGAACATTGCTCGATTTTAAATCTTATTTTGATTATGAAAAAGGATTAGAACTCGGTGATAAAAGGTTCACGAATTGCTTAATTTTTTAACAATACATGTCTCGCTAGTTCTGCTGGAAAAAATTTGTAATGCTTTTACTTATTTATCAAATTATATAAAGATTGCATTTTTCCTGAGTCCGATAAATTAAAATCTGTTCCATCTTTTTTTTATCAGATTTTTTTACTTTTTTTCCTTAACTTTTGTATGTTTTGGTCATTATTAATAGTTATGAAATAATTTATTTATCTGATCATGAATGTCCTGATTATCTGATCAAATAAATTTCATAATTTAGAAGAAATAATTTATTGAATCTTAATAATTTAGTTATTAATTATCTTATTTTCCAAGTAAATCGCGATTATATCAGTTTTTCGATTTTAATTTTGAAGTTTCCATTTGTAGCTTCCATACTTATCAACTGTGTTCTATACTTAATTTAATGTTGATTATTACTTGGATTCTCTTTTCTATTAACAATATTACAGTCTCAATATTCCGTTTTTGGGTGTTATTTGCAACATAATTCAACGAATATCTTTTTATAAAGAATTTTTTTAGGCTGAATTGATTAAAAATTCACTAAAGCAGATATTTCTGGATCATGAGGTATTGTGATGTATTGCAACATATATTTAGTGTGGGAGAAAATGCAGCACGAGATCAGATTCAGTAATATTTTTTGTTTCTGGTCATCGTAAATGCAGTCAAAATTATATTATAAATTCAGGCAAAATTTATGCTGGTTTGTATATGAAGGTCGTCAATTTTTACTAAAATCAATTTGTTCAAAATTCCACATGCAGTTTTATGCAGTTTTTATTTATTTTAATTTAGTGGAGAGGAATGGTAAATTTTATATGAATGAATAGTTTTTATTCGTCGACAGTGGTGTTTTGCTTACTATTCGAAAATTTTGTTAATAATGCATACTGATTATCCTTTGAGGTTCTGTATAAATTATTTTTCAATTAAATGCTTCATATTAACAGCATAATTTATCATATAAAATAGTAGCAAGTACCTAGCCAGGAGAGAGAAACCATTGAAAATAGGGTGAAGAAACAAATGGTAGGTAGCTCACTTAAAAATTAATTCACAACACTATATAGTCCACTGCATTGGTGTATCGGTGGCTCGGTGGCAAAATAATTGCCACCAAGAATCGAAGCTTTAATTCAAATCTGGCAGCACACTTCGTTGTGCGGTATTATTGCATAACTGGGAATGCAAAGAAGAATAGTATATCCAGTGGGTTGCTCAATTCGCCGATGCTGAGATTCTACTCCAGGTTCGAGTAGTAAAACTGTCCAGAAATCTGCTCTTTAAAAATTGTACAGTGCTAGAAATCAAAAATCGTTGCTCAATAATAAATGTTGCTTTATCAGTACAGATGGAAGTCAAAGTCCCTTTATCAATAAAGTTTTACATTTTCAATGTTTACATTAGAAGCTAATTTTCCGCTTTTTAAATCAGCCGAATTCCGCTTTATTTTCTTGAACTTTCAACTTTCCTTTAATATTCAAATCCACTTTAGTTAAATCCTTCATCAGCAACAAAAGTTTTTTAATTCCATATTTCAAACGACAACGAAGACAATCAGGAATCGGGCTTCAGAGTTAACATTACTCCTTTACATCATTTACTTGCAAATTTCATGTACAAACCACAAAAGCAGTTGTTAGACTTTTTATTGTAAGAAAGACGAGTAAATTGCCCCAATTAAAAGGTCAAAAGATTGCTTAAGGTATATACATACATATACATATATAAAGGTATATACATAGGTAGATAGACAGATTTTATGAAACGACAAATTTTTAAAAAATGAAACTGAACCAACCTCGTCACTAACTTTAGATTTTCTTTCTTTCCACAAAATCGTGGAATCTGAGCTTTCTCCACTGCATCGTCGTAAGCATTTCTTAAATTCCTTTCTTTTCCTTTACGGAAAATATTGTTTACTGCAACGAATATCGGATTTCTTCCACACTTTTCTTACTCGTTCTAACTCATTCCAATTTCAAGTATTAAAATTGGGTAATCGCATTAGTAATCTTTAATAATGGCTGGATTTTTCTAAAAATTGATATTTTTTTCTTATCAAATTTTTGAATTCACTGTCGTCTAGCAGTGAGTTTCAATTAAAAGTTGCAGTTGAATTTTAGAACTTAAAAAAAAGACCCTTTAAAAATTGAAAAGTTTTAAAAATTTTCTTTTGTAACAGAGAATTTCTAAAATTCTAAGTCGTCACTATTTACTTATAACAAAACTGCATTTCAAATTTCATTCTCTGCATTTTTAACAAATAAACCAAAATGAAAATATGTCAGAAATTCTTCACTTTTTAAAAAATTTTAAAGAGAAAAAAACGAATTCATTTAATTTAAGAGAGAATGAAATGAGAGAATGAAATTTGAAAAATCAAGTGTAGTGGAGTGAGGAGGACGCACGTAATGCTGGCCAAACCAACGTACAACATGCAGACAGGAAAATATGCTAATTCCTAAGCCAAATTAACCTGTTTGCTGTAATTCTCTCTGTAGTTTTTAAAATCATTCTTCAGTGCACATTGAAGAACTGAGAACATGAAGAAAAGATACTGAAAAAGAGATCGCTCAAGTGTTTTAACATTATATATAATTTATATTATATAATTTTTGCTATAATTATATTATTATTGTGTAATTATTGTTATTTTAAACTTTACTTAAGGGGACATAACAACTGAAAGGTTTTTGCATCGTATCGAGTAATCACATTTCCCCGCATCCTGGCACGAGTAAAACGGTACTTAACGGACCCGCATAATGCAAGCGCTCGTCTTCTGTTTTGGCTTCATCTGATTTCATTTCTGATTTCTCAGCTATTTCAAAAATTTCCACCAGAAGTTTTTGCATCTGATTGAAGACGAGCGCTTCTAATATCCTTCTAATATTCTCCACATTTCAGTCATAATTTTCGATGCAAAGCCCATCAATTTCTGTAAAATTTTTGCTGAAAAATGTCGAAAATCTTCGAAAATTTCTCGATCATTTTTCTACTCAACGTATACAATACAATATTGCAATACTCCAAGAAATATCTAAATTGATTCACAAGTGTAAATTGATTTAAAAAATTTTTTTTCTTTACACTGCTCAATAAATAAATTTACAAAATAAATCGAAAAAAAACTTAATTTAATTTGAGAAAAAATTTAAAATTTAGATTAAATTGATATAATATTGCGATAATAATTGCCAAAGCGATATTTTTTTAAACAGATTTTGGATGTATTTTAAATAAAATCCATAAAATCGTTTTAAAAATTTCATGGAAAATAATTCAATTTCATTTAAATTTAGATGAGTTGGCTATGATTAGTTAAATGCGTGTGGATAGAAAGGCTCAGTGGGTTGATGCTCAAATGGGAGCGCCGATGCTGAGGTTCGATTCCTCGCAGGAGTGAACCTGTCCAAAAATTCGGATGATGCTGGCGATTCACCCGCATTTCTATCGTCAAGGGACTTCTTGGCATATCTGTCCAGTGCGACAAGCCAGCGGAGCGAGTTTAACCAGTAATGATGAGGACTTTAAGAAGAAAATTTAAATTTGCGTAGACCTTGATTTGAAATTCGTTCCATACCTATCACCGATAATGATTCTCCTATGCTTGGACACCGTTTTTTTCTATATCTTATAATTTTATATATTTATAAATCTATGATTATATATATTTATATAAAAATGAGCATAAATTTGCTACAAAGAATTTTGAGAATTTGAATCATTTTTAATGTATTTGAAAATATAGAGTAACAAATAATAATGATAATGAAGTAGGCACGTACCATCTGTGGTTCGTGTATACGTTGCTAGGGACATTCGGTGACAGACACTCTGATGGCACCAGGTTTTCACCTTTAGTGGCAGGTTTGTTCTCTTCAAGTGACACTAGTTGAGTTTGTTCTTTCTTCAGCTTATTTGAGATTTTATTTGAGATATTTGAGATTTGAGATTTTAAGATTATTGAGATTTCATTTAATTAATTATTATTAATTAATATTATCTTTCAACGAATGGTCAGTTAAAGAATTTTCGTGATAAAAGCGTGATAATTGCAAAAATTTTTTCTTTTCACTATTCAAATAAAATTTCAAATTTTATAAAATTTTTATTCTTCAAAGCAGTGATTATTGACCATAAGCATTCTTATTAACCTTCGGAAACCGGAAAATTGAAAGAATCGACTCTGCCTGTAAGGTCCTGTAACGGAAGACATAAAAAGCGATAAGCGACAAGGACGACAAGCGATGAGGACCAAGAAGTCGCGATGAGCACAAATTTTGAATTTGTAGATCAGCGCTATATGCAAAAAGGAATGCCTTCTGTTGCCTTCAGCTGCTGTGCTATCGTCTTCGACTTGGAAATGCCTCAACCTTGTAGACCAGTGGACCATTAACGGTGCGAGGAAAAGATGGTGCGAGAAACATTGGAAGCAGAATTTTCTAACAAAATTTATAACTATTCTAAAGCAGATTCAATTATTTACAAAGTTTGAATCCATAAATTGAAATTAAAATAGAAACCACATACACAATACAACAACGTTCAAACAATTTTTTTTATTAAATTTCGATAATTTAAGCAAAAAAAATTCACAGCAAAAAATAAGAAATATTATTGGCATTATCGAACGAGAAAATTGAGAAAAAGAAAGCAGAGCAACTGAAACGATGATAGCACTATGACAATAGCGCAAATAGCGCAAACTTCCTCGTTTCATTCATCGAATTCCTCCAGTTCCTTCACTTCACTTCAATGCTTGATATTTTCTATTTCTTGGTCTTAGCACGAATTTCTGAGAAATTTTGCTGATTGCATTTCGAATAAAGCTGGCAAATGGTAGGGCTGATCTTTAATGCGTTGTTTTTGGTGGGTGTTGGTTGGGTCATCGGATTTTCCTTTTTATTTATTGGGTTAGTGTTGGTACTTATTTCCTGATAATCCAGATTGTTGCGCAAAACTGTTGAGCAGTTTATTCAATATCCAGGCCTATTTTGCAGAGTACTTTTGGATAAAAAGGAATAGATTCTAGTGGTCGAAAATTTACTGTCTGATTTTGATGAGGAACGTAATCACTGGAATTGAAATGGAGTGATTCGGAGTGCTCACATATTCTTTTTCGCAGATAATGAGGGTCGGAAATCATATAAGTTATTCTGGACCAATTCCCTAAGGAAATTTCGTATATTCTTATGCGTTTGTTCTTTCAACACAATTTATGGTTGTCTGAACGCACTTGGCCAAGGATTCCCGATTAGACACCATACTTGAAACCCCATCATTATTCAATCTAATATATTTTTTCATTTCACATTTGATAATATATGAAAATAGTTGAAAAGTTTTGAATATTTATTATTGTTTCTTGGTACTTACATTACAGTTTTCCGTTTTCTTATGGAATTTGGTTTTGTTTACTGATTTAATCGGTGATTGACTGAACTTTGTAACTTTTGCTATTATATTTTCATTATTTCGACTCACTGAATTGGATCGGGGTTTTTATTTTTATAAAAACTTAGCACAAATATCGAACGGTTCGTTGCTTCGACTGAGGCTAGGCATCACACATTTTATTCCATTCCTTTGGCGAGAATAAACCTGTTATTACAATGAAATCTAGGCGGTGCTAGTTAGAGTGAAGTGAAAGATTATGCTGATAAGTCTATCAGACCAAGAGCAGTAAATTCTGTCGAAAGAAGTATTCACGTAGATTTTATTAGTAAGTTGTTTCATGAGTGAATATGGTCGTATCTTATTAACTCTTGCTGAATGTTGCTTAATGAAAACTGCGCAAGTCAGTTCAATTCAACGTTCAATTCTGAATAATTTTAATTAATTGATAAATTATTTTAATTGGTAATTAGTAATGAGCAATAATTATCTAAAAGTAATTAAAATAATTAGCAAAATAATTAAATTAATTATTAATTATAATTAATTAATAATTTATTAAAATAATTTTATTCCATTCTTTTTTCAGTATTTTTTTCTATTTTTGTGATTTTTGCAAAATTTTTCTAACTTGATAACTTGATAAATCTTCTACAATAATTTGTTTTATAGAATAAAATAAACAGTTGAATCAGATATGGAAACTTTTGCTATTGATCGATGTTCCCGAAGTTATAATCGACTTTTAACGACTTTACGAAAAATTGTTAGCAATATTTTCTAATTTATTTAATCTTATCTGATATTTGATGAAAAATTCTGTGGAATAACATGCATACTTAACTTTATAAACGAAGAAAAAGAAAAGTAAGCAATGAATAAAGTCAAATATTTACAAGCTAAATATTGGCATCATTCGCTTGAAATAAAGGACGTGGAACTTTGCAGTCAAACACATTATTTGAAGTAAATAGCGCCGAAAATAAATTAGAAAACTTAACTATCGTTTTAACCACTACAAAATGTATTATTGTTTTATTTGTTAAAAAGATTAGCAAAAAATTTTTCACTTTTTTCATTCGTATAGAGAAATCCATGAATAAATTTAAGGGCAAAGTTCCAGAAGAAGGTCTTCAACCTCATGTAGTTCATGAATTTATTAGTAGGCTTGCAAGCATGGATTCGAATAATCGTTTTGATATGGTATATTTTCTTTTTTTTGATCGTATTTTTTTATTCAAATTTATAAAATTTTAGAAATGTTTCATATTTTTAGATTAAAGTTGGTGCCGGTGAAAGAGAAGGAAGAGTTGTATCTCATACTGTCAATCAACTTCATATTGGGTTTTTTTCCTTACTCCTTTCTTTGGACGAACGTATTTTAAATTCTTCGAAATTCGAGATTTTTTGAACCAGTTACCTTTGTTTATTTATTGAGAAAAAAAAATTCATTTCCTTTATTTGTTTAAAAAAATTTGGTTTTTGAGTTTAAATAGTTGATTTATTCTTTTATTTCCATTTTTTTCCATTCTTTCATATCATAAATTCTTAGTTTGGCTCATGGTATTGGTCGATCAGGTAACTTATTTGAAAAACAGCCAAAAGCATCTGGTTCAACTATTTTGGGTGATCTAGCGAATAGGCTTGTGCTCGATGCGATTAAAAATTTGGGTTTAAATTATTTTGATTATTTTCATTAATAATTAACTTTTTACAGAATATAGGAATATATATTCTTCTAGAAAATTAGAGATAAAATTTTTTAAAAGTTTGGATATATATTCAATTTGCAGGAATCACATGCGCAAATTATGCGCTTATTGTTCCTGTTGCAACTGGAATGGCACTTATGCTTTGTCTTAATGCTTGGCGCAGATTGAAACCACTTGCTAAGTTTGTTGTTTTCCTTCGTATCGATCAGCGTTCTTGTTTCAAGGCAATCATTGCCGCTGGTAATTTTTTTGCTGATTAGTCTCAAATTTTTTAAATGTAAGGAAACATTTTTATTTATTTTTATTTATATTTTAAAAAATCCTCTTTTCAAACTCTGTAGGTGGTAGATTATTCTCAGCATCGGGTTCTGTACCAAAGGCCTGGGAGATCGAAAATATGCCATTTTTGATGTTGTTCTAGAAATTTGCTAAAACCATTTTTCTATTTTGGAGAGTTCTTCTTCTAATTGCTCTCACCATTACTGGTTATGCTCTCTCCAATGGCTACAAGGGTAAGACGCTTCCAAACGGCGGGGTGTAATGCTATCGTCGATGGTAATAGAAGCCATTCCCTTTTCCATCATCTAAGTCCATATATTGCTGGTCTACCTACACCTGGTTTAAAATCTTTCCTGACCGTATCAGTCCAGGTGTTGATTGGCCCACCTCGCTTTTAACGCCATCCATCCACACGTTTTAACAAGTAATGAAATATGCGACAACTCTTGTGGTGGTCGATGGAGAACGTGCTCTAACCACTGAAGGCGACGCTCTGTGATAATATTAATACGGTTGGTGTTTGAACGAAGGTGGATGCGATCACGTGATATTTTATACGCTCGATGGACCCGTGAAATACCTTAGACAAGAGTGGTCAAAGGTAGATAGCTTTTTAATATCCTCCACTCTCATTGGCCATGTCTCAGAACCATATAGCAAGATCGAACGAATCACGGCTATTTAGATGCGGAATTTAGTCTTAATGGTAATTTCATGACGGCTCCATAAAGGTTTTCGTCAACCGGAAGTACGCATTTATAGCTGCCGTGATCCGAGTTACAATATCGTCTTTTGCCTGGCTATTTGGTATTAGATGGACCCAAGGAGGGCATAGTTCAAAGTGCTCCAGTTATTATTGGGATTACTTTGCCATTCATTTTCCATATCTTCGTTTTTCAACCCCTGATATTTCTTTAACTTCTCATATTCTTTCTTCTTAACGTTTACTGTTACTGCTATATCAATATATCACCAGTGCTAATTTCTGATTCATATCTAATACATCGATTCTAGTTCATTTGCCAATATGAATTTCTTCGTCTAGATGGAGGAGCCACATAGACTGTTCGCCCTATTCTTTACGATTTTTTGAAAGGTCTCTCATCTTCTTTAGAGTTCTGTTGACTTTCTATAGAGCCAAACATTCACAGATCCATGTGTGGTGAATTGAGTCATATATATTTATAAATATATGGTTTCCATCAAAATTTATCTGAAATATGTGAATTTATTGAAAACGAATAGCTTTATGTGGCGATCTGGATGAATAAATATAAAGTAATATAAATTGCGTAACATTTCTACTGTTTGCAGTTTGAATAATATTGTCAAAAAATATCGCAGATTTAAAATTTTATGCTAGGAAGTCGAGGCAAAATAAATTTCTAGATAAATTACAGGTTTTGAGCCGATTGTAATTGACTGTATAAAACATCAGAAGGATGAGTGTCTAACAACTGATGTTAAGAAACTTCAGAATATATTGGAAGCACGTGGAACCGAGGTGGGAATATATGTGGTTGATATTGGGCGATTTTGGAAAATTTTTTGTTTAAAACATCAATATTTCATTGATATTGACTATATATTTTTATTTAATATTTTTTATATTAATATAATATAATATTACTATATTAATATTATATTGTTATATTATATTATTATTATTAATATTATTTTTTAATACTTTTTAATATTTTTATTTAAAATAATTTAATATCTACAAGTATTTTAAATGGTAATAATATTTTTCATTAAAATTTTTTAAACTTTTGATCTTATTTATGGATTGAAAGAAGCTTTCAGATATTTAGTTTTTGCTTTTGATTTTCAGACATTTTCAGATATTAGCAGTGATGAGTACTACTTCTTGTTTTGCTCCTCGATCGCCTGATTGTATAGTTAATGTTGGGCAGTTATGTAAAGCTTATTCTGTCAAACATTTGGTTAACAATGCTTATGGTTTGCAGTCGGCCATTTGTCGACAGCTTATTAATGAGGTTTCGGATTTTAGGGTTCCTAATTTTTTTGCAATGCATTTTTGAACCATCAAAATCGAAATGGAATGAAAAAATATCAGAAATTTATGATCAATTTATAAATAGGATTTTATCAAATTCATCAGTTGTTCAGTTAGTCATATGAAAAAAAAGGGAAAACTGGCTTTCTCTTTTTGTCTGTCACATATTTTTGCCATTTATCTGAAAAGCCAATTATTCTTAACTTTAAAAATTCTATTTATTCACATTTAAAAATCTTTATTTATTCACCTTTTTTCTTCAACTAAATTTTAATAAAAATTCTATTTTTGGCTGGAAAATTGTTTCAAATAGATGCAGTTGTACAATCACTTGATAAAAATTTTCTTGTTCCTGTTGGAGGAGCGGTGATAGTGACATTTGTTAAAGATGATATCGCGAGTATTTCCAATGTATATGCAGGTCTCTTGTTCAAATATCTAATTCTTTAGTTATTTATGATTAAAACTGTGTAGAAATTATTTTTCATTTATAATTTATTTTATAAATAATTTAAATATATCAACAATATCATCATAGAGCATTGCCTACGCTGTTGAAGCTATATTCGCCGTTTATCGCGGGAATTGATATATATCTCGGTGATTGCTAAGTCCTACGGTGAATGATTTCAAAAGCGAGGGCCTGTACTGATACATTCAGAAAAGATTTTGAACATATAGAGTGAACCAGCAGTGTATGGACTTGAAGATGGAACATAAAATGATTTTTTTTATTATCAGCAACGCATCGAACAGTTTGGAAGTATCTTACTCTTACAGCCAGCGGAGGCAGCCTAACAAGTAATGGTGGAGGCTATTAAAAGAAATCAGATATAATGGATATTGAGAATATGAGAATTTAAAACATATAATATATAGTTACAAATTTATATCATTTTATTCATATCTTCGTTCTTGTATATTAATGCGCATGATTAATATACAGGTAGAGCATCGATCGTTCCTTCAAGAGATCTCCTTATAACAGTTCTTGAATTGGGTCGAATGGGCTTACAGAGATTATATTCTGTACAGGAAAAAAATTTTATTGTTTTGCGCGATCATTTATCAGAGTTTGCGGCATCGATCGATGAAAGAATTTTTGATGTTCCTGACAATCTTATTTCCCTTGGTATTATTTTATTTTCACTCATTTAATGAAAAGAAGTGAAGATTTTGGTAAAATAATAAATCAAAAATATCTGGTTTATTTTTTAATATTTCTAGCTTCTGAATTGCAGCTATGACTCTATCTAAATGGACAAAGGAACAACAGTTTGAATTGGGATCCGCATTATTCAAACGTGGTGTTACTGGAGCTAGGTTTTTTTATTTCTAATCGTAGACCAAAAAATAATACTTTTCCTTTTAAGAGTGAGTCTTGAGAAATCGTATTTTTCAGCCTGTATTTGATCGTTAAAAAGATTTCTGCCATGAACATGCATTTTTTTTCTTGTTTATGTAACATTATTACGTTGAATATCACTGATAACTAAATCACTCATGTTTCTTCATCAGCTTAAAGAAATGGTTAATATGATCAAAATATTATTCCCAGCTTCTAACATATTTCAGAGTGATTTTGTCTGGCATGAATAAATGTGTAGATGGATATAGTTTCGAGAATTATGGGTCGCATTCCTCTTTAACTCACTGTGGATATCTAAATGTTGCATGTGCAATTGGTAAATTTGAATCAGATTTACGAATGTGAAGTTTTCAAATCAATATATGGAAATTTCATGAATTGATGAAGTCGTATTGCTTATTAATTTTTTATTAATTTTATTTAATCAAAATTTATTTGAGGTATGACAGAAGTGGAAATCCATGAATTGCTATACCGGTTAAAACAGATATCACATGATATTTTGTTGATAAAATGACTGTTTTATCAATTTGCCGATATTTCATCATAAAGCATACTTTTTCTTTTAAAAGTAAGATTTCTTTTAAGATTCTTCGGTTTATTTTATTTGATTATTTCTTGCCAAAAGAATATATCCTTGATTTTTTGAGATATATTAATTATATATTGCATAAAACTTTAATTAATCTACATCCTTAATAATTTCTATCAAACCTAATTTTTGGAAAATTTATTTGTTTGCTTTATGAATTTCGATAAAAAATTAGAAAAAAATTCCGATATCACAAATCGAATATTCCCAGATGGGCTTGTGTTGAGCAGAACTCTACAGATATTTGCATTCTTTTGGAAATTACCTTTTTTTGTCCCATTTCTATGCTTCTTTTGTAACAATACGAATGGAAAAACGAAAATTAAAATTAATATTCTTAATATCCTTCAATAGCTCATTAAAGAGAAAAAAAGCAGATTCCTGTAGCGGTTAATTTATAGAAAGAATCATCATAAAGAAAAATCATTATAAAATTTGGAAATGCAATAATGTGAACCCATTCCTAATGAAAGAAAGAAAAACAAAAAAATTTCTATTTTTTGCTCTCCAAGTTTAACCACTTCTAAAGGAGTTAAAAAGAAGAAACAAATATCAATTGCTACTGGAAATACTCATTTCTAGTACAGCTTCTGGAAATTCCCGGTAGAACTTTTCATATAACAAGCAGTTCTAAATTTATTTACTGAAGAACTTAGGAAAGGTTCTTTTGGAATTTTTTCTAAAATCTAATTCGAATTAGAAATATTACGGGTATATTTACACGGATATAATACAAGATTTAATATAACTGTAATTGTCAACAAATATAGGAAATATTTGTGAAATAAAATGGAACGTTTGAAATATTAAAAAACCAGTTTTGCAATAAACATTTTTGTCTTCTTAATTTCGGTTTCAAATATTATATTGGGTAAATTTATTGCCACATTCTTAAGTTCCCACACATTATTCGCCTAATCTTCGAATTTTCTTACGCTTACAGTTTCAATAAATATAAAGCATCAACATCTGATTCGAATCGAAAATCCCCGTAAAGATGAAATCAGCTGTAATATCCCTTTGATAAAAATGGTGATGTTTCACTTCGACGACTATTACCCCACTTTCATTCATTTTTCTAAGATTTAAATACAAAAACAAACGTTCAAAACAAAAACATTTCAATAATTTGTTTTGACGACCGTTCAAAAAAAGATTTTAACAAAAAGAAAACAAGGAATTTCGTCGTGAATGCAAATGATGAATGCAAAATCCACAAAAAAAAATAATTTTACGGTTGAAATTAAGCAGAATTGATTTTACGATTAAAATAAGCAAAAAATTAAAGTGTCGAGAGTATCGTGTCGTGATTGCTAAAAAGTATTGTGATTGCTAAAAAGATTTTATTTGACCAATGAATTTGTAAAGATCGCCAAATCATCAGGATTATTTTTTCTGCAAAAGAATTTTCTGAATGGAAATCTGAATAGCAAAAAATGAAAAATAAAGCAAATAAAATGAAACATCACGTCAAATCGGTCAGTCATACATGGCATTTGATACATTCATTTCTTTTTGAATAAATTTAGGTTATTTTTTCATTTTCATGTAAGCTTCTCATATGTTTTCTCTTAATAATCGCACAGTTTCTATGTTCATCTTTTTTTTTAAATTAATATTGTTATGCGACCAGGCCGAGCCGAAGTATAAAGTGGCATTAGGAACAAGAATTCTACATGCATGCTACAGCGCTGGGCGCTGGCGATCTTTCTATAATTCTATAGCTAAATAACCTGGCGAGAATTTTTGAATCGTTCTGACAGAAAGAAGATCAAGTAGATAAAGTAGATCAGTAGACCAGAAATGGTAAGCGCTAACCACTTATGAAATGCTATATGCTATTGATTTCACTGAATTTTGCGGAATGAATTTTTGTGAATTTTGCTTTCAATTCCATATTTATTTCAAAAAGGCAATTTGTTCAGATAAAAATATTAGAAAAGTGGTGAAATTCAAATCTAAACGAACTCTGTAAGATCCTAACCAACAAAATTTTATTTTTCGCAACTTACTTTCCAGTTTTTTTTCTAATTTTTTAAATTAAATTTCTATTAAATTTATTAAATTTTTTAAATTCTTAAATATAAAATTATAAATATTATAAATATTATTATAAAATTCTACTAAATTTTCATTATTTTTTTTCACAATAAACCAAGAAAATGAAAAGTTGAGTCATCTGCAAACAAAAAGATGGTATATAAAAACTAAAAACGAATACCAAACCGAATTATTCTATTCTTCACTTCACGTTGGATTCGCTTCGCACATTCTGATCTTAATTCCGGTGTCTTCGGTATTTCCAATTTTTTTGCCTTAAAGATTAAGAACTTGTCTTTTAAAAATTTCAAATGTCAACCTCTAAAACAATTAATTATTATTAATTAATTAATATTTCTGCAGGTTTTCAGTTTTATCCCAGTCAAAACAAATAAAAATTATGTTGCTTGAAGCAAACAAAAAATTCATATGTATACTTTTTTTAAATGTATACTTTGAAATTTTCAATAAATAACCATACATATCTCGTTCTAAAAAATATGAGAACATTTATTAATGTATTTGATAAAGTAAGATTAGAAAGACGATGTAAATTACTTGAACAGCATTAAAATTATGGGAGGATTTATCGCTAATACAAATTGGACGATTTCTTTCGGGAGAAGTTGCACTGTTTTCATTCAGATGAATGACAGAATGCAAATTTTTTTCACGGTGAATGCCTGTAAAAATTATGGAATTCAATCAATTGAACGTGCAAAACCAAAAGGTGATTAAGAAAACCACGAAATCCTACGCAAATCGATTAAAATTAATACAATTTCATAATTAACATATTATTTGAAAAAAAAATTATTCCGTAATTAAAGATAATTGTCTATCGAAGTCAGAAAAAAGTATACTGTGTTATTAAAAAATTATCGCAACGTTACTTTGAACTCATTAAACTGCATTTATAAACTTATAAATTTGCAAAAACATTTAAACGAATAAAATCTGTTTATAATCCATTTATGAAAAAAACTGCCAGGAAAACATTAAATTATTTTTTAAAAATAAGAGAAAAAATTTTAAAAATTTTTGAATTTAAAAAAATTTTAATTATTTCAACTTGTTTGTGAAAACTGATAATCGATTTCAGTAATAAATGGCAATTAAAGTGATAAAATGATAAAAGGATAATCAAAAGAATTAGAAAAAAAATGAAATTATTAAATAAGTGAAAAAAAGGAAACTTTTTGTAAATTTGGAAAAATTCTTCATTAAATCGGAAATATTTTCTAGAAATTTGCATGAATCATTCATAGCTTGAATGGATTTAATTCGATGTTCATAATAATTGCACTTGCAATCCACTGACGTTTTCAGGGCTTTTAACAAATTACTTGCTCGCTCTGCGTCATATCTGACCAGTTCAACAAGTTCCTGCAAATTATTCCTGCAAATAAACTGTGCACTTATCTTCTTCTCCTCCAAATTTTGACCAGAAATTTATTTCATCATTAGGCATAGACTTAAGATTCCGATGCCTTGTTTACGCTTATTTTTGCCAAATAACTCACTAATTGGAAAATGAAATGAGTGGTGAGTGAATTGAAAAATTTATTAATGAATTCCGTTATTTTCTCACAGTGCAATAATAACCAAAGAAAAAACGAAATGAAAAAAAAAGAGAAAAACCTCAACCGAACTCCATTCATACGTTTCATGTGCATTTTTCAGCTCGTTTTTTTCCAAGAATTCACTTATAATTTTTAATTTTTCAGGATCGCCCATCGTTCTTTTACAGCTCTAAAATATAAAGAAAATAAGAAAAAGCACTGAAATCCCGAAATGAAAAAACCAAGCATTTACCAAATTCAGCAAGAACAACCATTCAAGTCAAATACTTTAAAATTACCGCATTTCCGAAAAATGGTACGACGTTTAGTGATACTAAGAATCGGTCGTGCCTAATTTTTATATCATTTTTGTATTTTTTTCCACACTTTTCCGTTACCCTTTCTCCGCGACAGTTTAAATAGGCTGGCTGGTGGAGGGAGATATTCGTGATTTGCAGGCCTTGTGGACCGAGCCAGTGTTTTGTTTTGTTTTGTTCATCACTTCTATGTCGGACTCATTCTTATAGCTGTTGATAGAATAAAACAACTTGCTAATGAGGGAAAATTATCGTTCAGCGCATCTGTTTGCGTTCTCAGTATAATTTAATTTTATTTATTTATTTATTATAACTGCAATATTACTGAAATAGACGAATAAAGTAATGAGTAATTTCACGCAGAAAACCCGCACTTCGCTAACTTCGCAATTTTCAATTATAGTGAATTTCCTAAATATTATTTATTGTTGGGAAAGGCATAATTCATGACAACGAAATGTCGACTTAGGTTATTCATAATTTAATATTCTTAATGCTTTTGAAATAATCTATTTTTCATTTTCACTTTCAATTTTTGTTTTCGTTTGTATTTAACTACCGTATTTTCGTTGGCCTCATGGATTTTAAATGTTGCTGCCTGGCCACCGCTCAGTATTACGTCTTATGTTCTATAATTTGTGATCTGCACCCTTGTTGTACGTTCGTGTGGTCCAAGATATATACGAGGGTCCACTATAGGATTTCGAAAAAAAGAGTAGCCACTGCTACTCTTTAATTGTATTTGTTCTACTAGGCAGATCTTGCAAAATTAATTGCTAAATGCGAAGATTTTTGCAAAGATTTCACGTTAATGCCTTAAAGTGAGAAATTGAAAAGATACATTGAACAAAGCATGCCGCGTAGTACTGAAAGTTTCGCCACCAAAATATAATTCAGGTCCTATTAGTAATTATTAATAATTATAACACTGATAATGAATTTATGTGAGGCGTTTTTTTTAAGAGTTTTTTTTTTACACCTTTTTATTAATGGTAGTCAGATGCGTGTCGGATATCTCGGATCTTGGCGTAGTCGTAGTAGTTCCTCCTCTTTTGAATAAAACCAATAAAACTTATCTCGTTTATAGAAATATTTCTCTCTTTTATCTATGTCATACGCCAGGCTGTGGATGTAAATTCACTTTACAAATTGTTTTTGACTTAGACTACTTAGATCTTAGTTTTTATTTATTGGTGTTGATTATGTAATTGTTGGTGGGGGATAGGATGGCTTAGTGGGTTGTTGCTCAGTTCAGAGCGCCGATACTAAGGTTCTATTCCCCGCGGGAGTAAAACTGTCCAAAAATCCAGGTGATGCTGGCGACTCATTTGTATTTCTATCGCCAGGGCACTCTCTGGCATATTGCCTAATGCGATAAGCCAGTGCAGCGAGTTTAACTAGTAATGGTGAAAACTCTTTAAAAAAAAATATGTAATTGTTGGTGGTCTTAATATGCCAAATATAGACTGAGAAAATAATTGTATGAAAAACAGGAACATCTTTCTAAACATTTTATTTACAAAGGTTTAGAGTATGTTGCTAACCAGTGACAACACCATATAGATATATTTTCGCTTCCACTTTCACTTTTTTCACTGAATGTGTTAATGTGTTAATGTTCTAAAATCCTGGTACCTTTCTGTAATAGCAATCATAGTATCATTAATATATTATTGAAAACATGAACAAGCGAGGAAGTACCAGATTTTAAATGTCTTCACTACAATACCAAGCCAAGCAAAAGACGAAATTATAACCCGGATAATAGTAGCTAGAAATGCTTTCTTACCATTGATGGAACTTTTATAGACTTGTTGCATAATCACTATTGAAACGAAAGTTTGCATCTACTTAGCTGCGAGTTGCTCGATCTAGCTATGTTGCTGTCAGAGATGGCCAGTGAGAGTGGAGGATATTATGAAATCATCTGCCTTTAACCACTCGTGTCTAAGTTATATTAAAATGTACCACTGATCTTTATGCTGATTGCTTAAAATTTTTTATTCTCATGGCAAAACGGATAATTGCCACAACATGACCTCAGTATAACTGCCAATTGGTTATATGATAGGTAAATCACTCTTTCCATTTAAAAATAGCATTTTACAAATAAATTCGAATGGATTCGATCTTTCTAATCTTTTTATTGATGGTAACATAATCAGGCAAGTCTCACACTTTCCGACTTGGCGTAATCACTGATGAAAATCTCGATTTCGAACTTCATTGCAGAACCATGGTAAAGAAATTCTCAAAGATACTAAATTTTTTTTTTCGTCCCTTTAAGAGCAAAATTCAAGGTTATCTTATCAAAATGTATAAAGTTCGTTCGGTCTTTTTTTGATTACAATGCTACCTGTTACTCTTCGAGATATCAAATCAAATGAAATAATTGAACGACTCCAAAAATATTTTATACGACGCATTTTTCCTTATAGCTATAGTTTTAATTATAAAAAAAACTTGTGCAATATAACCTGGATGCCTTCAGTCCATCGAATTAAACAAGATTTAATTTATAATTTATTTATATGGTTCTATATGGTTATGTTAATTTAGATTATTAAAAATATTACAATTTTAGGTTAAATTTGAATCCAACAAGGTCGAATGAGCTAAAATTACTAAAACCTATTTGTGAAACTAAACTAAGAATGCGTATTTTTTTTATTTGCACATTTTTAGAATAAGTTACCGAACGATGTAGTTTGTGATAGTTATCATTCTTAATTATTTTCAAAAAAGGCTTAGATAATATTATTTAATACTGTGATTTAATACTAATTATTTAATATTATTTAAAAACTTCACATTAAGCAAGTTCAAATTATAATCCTTTACCGTACGACTACGTATCATTAATGCATTCAGTTTGAATTCCGTTATTTTTTAACTCCTCTTTATTAATGAAATAGTGAAGGTGATTGTTAATGAAATTAAACAGTAAGACGTAACAATAACAATATGAGAAATAGTAATAGTAAAAATGATTGTAAATGATAAATTAGCCGACATCGCGATTCATTAAGATAATATTAGAAAAACTGTGGCATTTAACTTGATGCATCATTTTGGATTGATAAAAAGATATTCTAAAAATGATAGAATAGAATTGATATGCACAGGTTGCATGTCCAAATTTTTAATTTTTTAGTCTTTGTAATTACTAGTAGTGTAAATAAAGTGAATCCGATGTTTTATTTCCTTTTTTCTTGTCAATTGATAAAAGTTTATTAAAGTTTTCAGTCTGCAGTATAAGTCATTCAGGTGCTTCCAAATATTATATAGCTTTTCTACATGTCAAACTAATTTTCTATATGGCGCGACGAGCGAGGAAAGTATGAATAGAATTCCAATTTCTACAGCATTTCAAATAATAAATAATAAATCTTTATTAATATAATGTTTATTAGTACTGTCGTCAAGTTCAATTAATAAGGCCTTAATACATCCAAAAATAATTCTAAATTAAAGTCTTATTTTTTGGACAGCGTTCATGGTAATGACGCTTAGCACTGCTAAAACAGGCTTCTCAACTTGAAACCTCAGCACAGAGGAGCAAAGAAAAATTGCAAAATACAATCCAAGTGAAGATGGTCTTATCAACACAAATTAGCTTCAAAAGGATGCGTTATGCATCTTGGACAGTTATTTGAAAAGTTGAATAAAAAATGGGCCCATCATTTGCTCCGAAAATAAGCGATCAAATCCATGATATAGCTATCTGTCTCTTCAGTTATGTGTCTCCCTCCATTGGAATTCGAGCTATTTTCTGGATTCTTTGTGGTTCACAAACAAGCAAAGCTGACTTCATTGGACAAATTAAATCAAAAAGTCGAACAAGATTTATCAATGGATTTACGCATAAATTGGACTTATCTCGCAGTCTGCGATATATTAAATAAGCACTGTGGAGAGCCCGAAGCACTTCTCGAGCCATATTGTATCTCAGTTAGCTAGCAGATGGATTTGTCTCTCTTCCCGAGTTTTGTTGAATGACTTTGAGAAGATTTAAAGTGGCTGGAGAAGACATCACTCATCTTTCGATCCTTCAATTAAAAGAAAATTGGCTTTCGCCAAGCAATACGAGAAAAAAGAATACGACAACGAGAATTCAGCAAAGCTGAGAAAATCTGTAGACCGAAACATATAAAGAAACAAGAGGTTATGCATTTTCAAAATACGATAAATAGAAGAAACAAGACTTCTATTGCAGGAATAGATATTGTAACCCAGAGATATGTAACTTTTTTCTCTTAAAACGGCTCGACTGTAAAGATCTACGTAAATTTGGATGTCTATATGGTTGTGGTCTGTGCTCTTCTATATTTTCTTGCATAATTTGAAGCTTTATATTACTCTGGGAATTGTGGGTTTATTAATCTATTGTACCAGTTTTCCTGTCATGCGTCACATAAACGCGCTTGTCTCGCATCTTCTTTATAAAAAACTTCAGCCATGATGGGCATTGAAATGTCCATACTATCGCAAGTGCTTAACTAGTTGCTGTTCCACAGGAGCCATTTCATATGTGCATCGGGTCATTCCATCTCAGTTATATTCCTCCTTGTGTGAAGCTTACCTAGATTTAGATTTTATTTGTTCTGCGTAGTATAGAAAATCAAATCATTGCACTCATTTTATTAAATCTCCTTATTATAGAAATACGCAAATTTTTCTATGTAAAAATGGCAATTTAAAGTTTAAAAGATATTGGAAAATATCAAATAATTGAAAGGAAATGAAGTAATTGAATCGTTTAGAGTGGGAATTGTCGAAATTGCAGAGAGATATTAAGGCAGCAATTGCAGTTGGCTTTTAGCACTTTCGAAGAATGTCAAAAATATTTAAGAGGATTGGAACGATACATAAAGTAGAACAGTTCGAATCAATCGCTGGTGCAGTGAGAGCAATTTTTATAATCCGTTATTGCATTTTGGATTAGATTTGGATCTATAAATTAAAAATTGTCCAAATCGCGGTGAAGTTACGATGCTTTCCGAGATTTTCCATTGGACTTTATATGGCACTTTTCAAAAAAAATTTTTTATATTTCGTTTTGTAATTTAGTGTTTATTCCTTATAGCTTTGTGACTCCATTTTCAGTTTTGTTTGGGGAAATGAAGGAAATTTTTTATTGGGTCTGACGAAGGCAGCCTTCGAACATTTGTCACGCACCCAAAATTCTACTTTTTTGCTATTTCAATTATTGAATTCATTAAGGCAGTCGATGCTTTTACTGTGCAAATTTGTTTTGCTATTAGTGGGTATATCTTATGTCAATGCGGAAGTCTGGCCAACTGTTGTCGCGACCTGGGCAAGTGACGACTTCAAAGCTGCCGTTTATTCAGGTAACATATATATTATTCTAAAACTGGAAAAGGGGTCAGTGTTTTAGAATACGCAGTTTCTTGAGAATTCATCTATATTTCATATATCCGCAGAAACTGCGATATATTAGCGAACACTTATATCAATTCAATTCCGTTTAAGATTGATAATTTAGGAGATTTCCGTATAGGAACTGAATTCCAGCTTATGAGAAATTGATATCGAGCAATGATCGAATTAAGGCGCTTATCGAAGGTTTGTCTTCATGTGAACGCTTGCAATGTGATGGAACTGTGGGTTATGGTGGCTCACCTGATGAAGCAGGCATTGTGCGCTTAGATGCACTTATTTTTGACGGGTTAATCTCTATCCAGCAATCCATCAAATCTCATCATGAAATACTAGTATCAAATTCCGTTTAATTTATTTTTTCTTTTCGGTCGAAAGTTTTTTCTTTTCAGAGTTGGGCATAAAGTTGGGGCTGTTGGCTCGTTGGCCAATATACGTGATGCCGCGCGTGTTGCTCATGCCGTCATGAAATATACGAAACATACTCTTCTTGTTGGAGATGATGGTAGGTTTGGCTGTGCGATTTTATATTTCCTTCAGATCAGTCGTTAGATCGATAAATTATTTTAAAAAGCGCCGAAAAATTTAATAATGTAGTTTTTAACAATGTAGTTTTTGTTTTCGCTACTTATCCGTTAATTCATCGATAAAAAATTTTTTTCTTATAGGAAATTCCCGAAAAAAAAGTAACTTTCTTGTTCTATCTTTTTATATGCTTCGAATATGCTTAATATATATGCTTCAGACGAAAATATAATATAGTCAACATTATGGCCTCTTCACAAGGCCTTGCAACTTCTTTAATCTATACGGTTTTTACTTATTTCTAAATGATTTTAAAATGCTTACGATTAGTTTCATAAAAAGCCGCTGAATCAACCCAACAAGATACGCAATTGTTGGATAAAAATAGGGTGAAAAGCTAAGATATTAAAAAAATGTTTTGACGCAACAAATAGTATCAACTTTTCAAATTTTGAGACAGAAAAAAAACAATCACATTCGATTGTTTATGAAGAACTGGTTTCAAAAAATCTTATCATTCCGTTTAGTCCAATTTTTTGGTCAGTTCGAAAAAATTCCCAGTATTTTATGACTTTTATGATACAGTGATGAAGTAGGACTTCGTTTTTTATTTCTGGGTATCGCCGCTGGTTGACGGAGTATTTTGCTGAATTGTCTTCATTGCTTTTTTTTTATTCTATTTTATGGAACTAATTGTGACCATTGCGAAATCATTCAAAAAAGAGGTTTGCAAGCGAGTTATTTGCAGGTCTAATGAAATCATTTACGAACAAATTTATCAAATTAATCCGATAAGTTTTTTATAATTTGATTCTTTTAGCCACAAAGTTCGCAATCGAAATGGGTTTCAAGCAACAAACTTTAAGTACCAATCATTCAAATGAATTATTTACGGGATGGAAGGAAAGAAAATGTCAACCGAATTTCAGAATGGTGGTGAAATTACCAAATTTGTAGAAGCAGAATTCAGAATTCTGAAATTAAGAATTATTCTTTCTTTCAGTCATGCCACTTGAAAGAAGTAAAAAAAGCAGTCAAATCAGTGCAAAATGAGTGCAACTGATGTTTTCCATCTTAAGTTTATATTTTTAGCTTTCCATGCTTATGGTTTACAGTAGAATGGCTCAGTGGGTTGTTGCTCAGTTCGTAGCGGCGATGGTGAAGTTCCCACTCCCTGCAGGAGTAAACCTATCCAAAAATCGAGGTGACGTTGGCGACTCACCTGCACTTCTAACGCCAAGAGATTTCTTACTCCTTGGCTCCTTGGCATATTTGTCCAGCACGATAAGTCAGCGGAGCGAATCTAACCAGTAATGGTGAGGGTTGTTAAAAAAAAAAAGTTGCCTATAATTAATGGATTAATAATAAGGTTTTTTTAAGGGATAGAATAGCTATGCGAATTTCTCTTATTTTGGAGTATTCTAGCTACAAAGTTCTCAACAGGGAATAAACCCTTTTTTCAAAAATCCGATTGACCACCATAATTACCAAATGATTCACTTGCGAAATTCATCTCACAAGTCAGCGGAAGAAAATGTTTAGAAAAAAGAATTAAGTGGTGTGAGAAATTTATTTTTTTATTAAAGATTCTAGAGAGACAACGGATGCAGATTTGGAACTATGGAACTATCCAATCTTGCTAAACAGTAAAGAAAATTGTTGTTAAATGGATGTTCTTTTCTTCCAGGCTTTGTGGCATATATTTTTTTGAATGTTTATGATCATTCGTTTTTATTTATTTTATCCAGGTTGTCCATAGGTTGTTCATTCTTGAAAAATTAAGTTAGGTTCATTTGAAAATTAATTTTCAGAATGTGGTTCCAGACGCTAGAACAAATTGCGGTCCCTACCATCCTAGAGATTTTACAAATTGTTTAGAAAATAATTTCAGCGTTCGTTATTTTCTTTTGTTATTTTTTTCATTTTGCGTCCTTTGCATTATTTCTTATATTACTAATTTTCCTAATTTTTCCTTTTCATCTATTTTTTATTTGCCAGTAATAAATATTCAATAGCTTTTGTTTTTCAGGAAGATGTGGTAAGTCTTAAAAAATAAATTGTGCTAAAATGATGACTTAAAATGTTTTAAATGATCGCTAATTTTTTCCAAATTTTGTTTTTTTTAAATTGCTATTTTATTCATTATGTTATTTTTCTTTTGAAACTGTTGTTTTAATTTTTATTTATTTTAAAAAAAGCTAAATTCGATATGTTGATGTTAGGAAGAAAAAATCGAGATGAAGAAGCGAGGAAAAGTAAAAGCTTTAATGCAGCCTTAAAGTAATGACAAGTGGAAAAATGTTAAAGTTGTTCTTTATCAGTGGATTAGATTGATGTCAGTAAACAATTTCGTTGTTACTAAGTTTTAAATTTGGAAGACTCGTTCCAAAAATTGATACTTTTAACGAAGAAAAAGTGGTTGACTCGTCCAAAGTTTTTGACATTAAAATTTGGCTTGGAACTTGAAAAAAAGGACGGTAATGGTTAATTTAATGAATTTGTTGTTTTATGGTTAAAATACTACTTCTGTTGATGAAAGGAAAATTCTGACGTGCGTTGTTGTATCTATTAGTGATATAATATAATACTTCTTATTCTTCTCGTTCATTTCTGGTTTGAGCCTTTTATGAAAAATTACGCTTATTATAATAATACAATTCTAAAATTTTCCGGTGTAGTATTCTTTGCTCCCCTCCCTTCCGCCCATCTCATAAAATAATGTTGGCATTTTCCACTTTCTTATTTTTACTATATTTTTGTGCTGAATCTTTATCAATAAAAGTTTCTTTGAAAATTTAAAATCTTTTAAATAAAAATCAGGAATGATTTTTTGATCAGGGTTTCCACGGCGATAAATCTCATGACACGATTGGAATGATAGTTCTCGACAGAAATGGTGATTTCGCTGCAGGCACATCGACCAATGGTGCGATACATAAAATACCTGGGTAAGCGATCATTTTTATTTTTTCCTTTCTATATAAACGAAAAAAAAAGTTGCAATTTTGTTGTAATGTTTGTTTTCACAGGAATTTCGCTTTTTCAGGCGTATAGGCGATTCACCTATACCAGGTGCGGGAGCATATGTGGATAATGAAATTGGAGCGGCAGTGGGAACTGGCAATGGCGATATATTGATGCGCTTTGCTCCCACGTATATTTTAGAGTTTTTCGAGTTCTTTTGCTTTTTGCATATTGTAATATGTCTTTAAATATAAAAGTGTATGGGTCTTGAATTCGATTCAGACTGATTTAAATATTCCTATCCCTATAGACATAATTGAATTACCAGCAAGTTTCGAAAGAAACATATGTTGGAAGCACGGTCTTTAAGGGACAGTTTCTTTGACTTTCATTGATTCATTAACATTTATCATTATTATTCGACTCTTATCTTGATTTTATCTGATTGATTTATTGATTTATTGATTTTATTGATTTATTCAGCTATCAAGCAGTAGAAAGTATGCGTAGCGGTTTTTCCTCTCAGAAATCAGCTGAAATTGTAATTCATCGAATCGCTTTGGCGTATCCAGATTTTTTTGGAGCGATTGTTGCAGTATCAAAAACTGGAGAGTATGGCGCTGCATGTCATGGAATGGACTCGTTTGATTATTCGTTCCGTAATAAACATTCCAATAAAGTTAAAGTCATCACTGTAAAATGTATCTAATATGTGGAACCATTTTCATGAAATATGAAAATAAAACCACTTTTTTTTTACTGAGGCAAGAGGCAAGTTCATTGAGATTCAATTTTTATAATTTTTTCTGATAATTTTCCAATTTGTACTTGGTTGAATTCATTTATTCATTTATTTTTATAGAAACATGCATCTGCAGATCTCTATTCTCAAAAGAATGTTTCTCAAAGAAACATTCTTTCGGCCTCTTCTTGAGCAAAATTTAACTTGTTATTGTCCTACACACCGCAAATCAAGTACATCAATTGAAGGGTTCCAGGAATAGCTTACTTTACGTCGCTTCTCTCCTAATGGTAATCTTAATTATAAAACAAAATTCCAATTATGTGACCTGTGAACTAAATTATTAAATTTTTTCCAGTTCAGTGAATTAAAAGGTTTAAAAAGGTATGCATAAAATTTTATGTGCTTAAGTCAAATTAGATTGTTCCAGATATAATTTTAAACTAAATTTGAATACAACAAAATCTAATGAGGTGAATTATTAAAATGCAGAACTAAACATAGAATTTATGACTTTTTCATTCGTACCATTAATTACTGGAAAAAGCTGCCGAAAAAGGTGACATATTGTATACATCATCCTTGACCATTTTTAAAAGAAGCTCAAATGATATCATCCGTGATATTATTTAAAAGTTCCATATTCCACATGTAGGAAGTTTAAAACCTTTCAGCATGCGGAATTACACCATAATACCATAAAATAAATTGTAATGAATGTATCAATAATACATTCATTACAATTTATTTTATGGTATTATGGTGTAATTCCTTTTTACCTGTATTAATTTCTCTCTAAATTTAGCTTTTGGTCACATTTCGCTTTTGTGTTCTATATCGATGTCACTAATTTCTTTTCTTTTCGTTTTCTTGTCGTCAACGTAAGCACATGGCCCTGTTTGGTTGTTTTCAAATAAATAAATATGTTAATCCGATGTAATTGTGTTCGATAATGGTAGCAGCATTATCGCACTTTAAATTCTCTCAAAGGTCTTTTATAGGTCCTTTGCATTACATTCATATAAAAATTAATATTTAAATTTAATTGGTTATATTCATACAAAAATTTTTGTTCAAACCTGTATGTTTACATAATTTTCGTAGTCTTATGAAAGCGATCCATTTAACTCGGAAATTAAGGTTTAATTCCCTAGGTTTGAGGTTTGAAATTACGATTTCTCATTAGAATAGAAGAGGCAATATTTTAGAAAGCGAAAATTCGATAGTGTTTTCGATATCTATTAATCGATATTATTAGGACCTACTGAGACAATTATCGAGGAATCAGCCTACTAGACGTTTCAGCGAAAATTTTGGGCGCGGTTGTGCTGACCAGATACTCACGTTAAGAAGGGTGTTGGAACACCTCTTCAGATATTTGCAACTCTTCAGATATTTACAGATATCAGATATTTCACGTGTTTCATCGACTTTGTGGCCTGCCTTTCATTCATTGATAGAGCGGCACTTTGAAGAGTAATGGAACGCGACGGTGTTTTAGAGATCATTCGACTCATAAAAGTATTTTATGAGCGTACGTCCGCGCAGATCTATGTATATGGGGAACTGACAGACTTCTTCCAAATAAAAACTGGTCTCTATCAGGGCTGCATCCTTTCCTCTACAGTATTCAACTAAGCGATAGACTGGATAATGGATACCGCTTGTCGTCTTTAAACAGGTCCAAATCAGTCCAGAGCGTTGTATCACAGATCTTGAATACGCTGATGATGTAGTCCTTTTTGCTGACAGTTATAACGAAATGCAAGTAATTCTAAATGACAGAAACTGCAGCAAGAATCGGACTCAGGATCAATGTAAATAAAACGAAAGTCTTTTCGCCTTATGTGCAAGAAGCTAGTAAAATGCCTCTTTTTGTAAATTCATTGCAGGTCGAGGAATGCCTATTTTTAATACCTTGGGTCCACTCTAATACCAAATGGCCAGGCAAAAGACGACATTATAGCCCAGATCACAGCAGCTAGAAATGCGTTGTTCCGGTTGACGAAACTTTTATAGAGCCTTCATGAAATTACCATTAAAAGAAAAGTCCGCATCTAAATAGCCGTTCGATTCGTTCGATCTTCGTATATGGTTCTGAGATATGGCCAATGAGAATGGAGAATATTGAGATGCTAACTATCTTTGATCACTTTTATATAAGGTATATTTTACAGATCTGTCGAGCGGATAAAATATCATATGATCGCATCCACCTTCGCTCAAACACCACCTGTATTAATAATGTTATCACAGAGCGTCGTCTTCGGTGGTTAGGGCACTTTCTTCGTCGTTCACCAAAAGAGTTGTTGCATATTTCGTCACTTGCTAAACCGTGATGGATGGCGTCAAAAGCGAGGTGGGCCAATCAGGACCCGAACTGATATGGTTAGGAAAGATTTTGAACATATAGATGGACCAGCAATATATGGACTTAGACGATGGAAAAAAGAATGGCTTCTATTACCGTCGACGATGACATCAGACCGCACCGTTTGGAAGCGTCTTACCCCTGTAGCCGTTGGAGCCAGCCTAACCAGTAATGAAAGCTTTTAAAAGAAAAAGAAGAATCTATTAATTGAAAAGTTTATCGTTTATTTCGCAAAAAAAAACGACTTGAAATTTTCTTTTTAGGTTTTTTTAAAAGATCTCTTCATAACTGTCGCTCAGCTGACTTGTCGTATGAAACAAATATGCCAGGGGGCGATTGAGGGCCAGGTGAATCGCCAGCATCACCAGGATTTTTGGACAGGTTCATTTCTGCGGAGAATAAAACTACTGCCAGAAATAATAGTTTCTTTTTAGAAGCTAGAGAAGTCAAACAATGATCCCTCAAATTATCATCCTCCTTCTTCGAATACCTCTCAACAATGCTGCTTAAGCTGGCTCCATTGGCTACAAGAGTAAGATGACGGTTTATCAAATAACGAAATATGCGTCAACTCCTGTGGTGGACGACGGAGAACGTGCCCTAACCAGCGAAAACGACAATCTGTTCATCAAATTATTATCATACAATAAATTTTGACTAACCATATTGCATATTAAACGATCAGTAGTATAGACATTCTACAAATAAGTGGACAGAATAGAACAAATTATCAATTTTGCTAGTTGGCAATGAATAGTGATTACCAGCAGTATTAAAAAACAGTAACGATTTTACGCACAATAACGAAGCATTTTGAAGCAGTATGGAGAGATTTTTCAGTTATATTAGTTTGTATTTTTAAATAATTGGCTTTTAGCACGAAATCCGGACTTCTGGAGATTTTTTGAATGATTAGCAAATTTAGAAGAATTGAAAATTTTCTTTAATTTTCACTTTTTTGTTTTGGTGGGTCCATCAATTTTTGTTTTTTAGATCCTTGGTTCTTTGCAATTTTGCAAGAAAAACAGCTAAAATTGTCGTTTAGATTCATTCATTGAAAATAAAATAATTATTTTATTAATTATTATTATAATAATTATTTTAATAATTAATAACGAAACGTAATAACTCTGTGCATTATTAAAAAGCAAATTTAATAGAAATAGAGGTACAAAGATTCATTCATAAATTATATTCCCATTTATTTAAATTATATTAATTTAATTATATTATTAGTGTTAGCAGATGCATTATAATGAAAGACAGCCAGGAAATGAAATGTATTATGGTTTAAATATTGATTATTAATTTTTGTTATTTTTCGAATGATATATGCCCCTACATCTCGAGCAATAGAACGAGAACAGTTAATACGACTTGTCGAACAGTGGAACGAGAATCGTCTTGATTTGTTCAGTTTGAGCTATCCTAATGAGGTAGTTTCATATTTTCCATTTATACAAATTTAAGACTTTTATGAATTCAGTTTTTATTAACAATTGATTATTTATTCGTTAGAAGGAAATTGAATTAGATTGATCAAGAATTCTTAATTTTTTGAATATATTCTTCCTTTTAAATTTTTGTTCAGTAAAAATTCGAATTTTTTGGATTATTCTGATAGAATTTTTCAAATCTTCATTTGATTTTACAAACCTTCAAGGATCTTGAAATTCATGGCGTTATGCGATTCTATTTTCAAGAATCAAAGACAAAAGTTTCGACGAAATGCATTCGAGTTTCGAGCACGGCGACTACTCGTGCTGTTATCGAAGCACTTGTTGATAAATTTCATCCAGATTTGAAAATGTTAGTAATATTAAAAAACAATATTGAATTTATTGAAAAAAATTTTATATTATTGAATTAAATATTTTTTGTTTCCGCTCATCTTTGATATTCGGTAATGTTTGATTCTTATGGCCTGTTTTTCTTTATGCATCTATTTTTATTTCTCTGTGGTTTTCGAATTTTTTTTTTCTCCTAGCCTGCTCCTTCATCCAAAAAAATTTAAAAAAGAATTCCCCAAAGAGCTCGCATTTGGTGGTAAACTTAGCGATTATATCTGTTGATTATATTTACCATAAAGGAAATAAAAATATACAGTAAACATCTTGTAAACATTTATTTAAAAATAATAATAGCCACAATATATTTTAATAAATAATTTTATTATATTATAAACAATTATTATTATTTTAATTTTACTTCATTATAAATATTATAAATAATTTTTTTTATGGCAACTAATATTTTTAATATTTTTCAAAAAAAAATTTAATTAGAGGAGTGGAATGCTTTCATTATTTTTAATTGTGATCTAGTTTAAAATAGGGCAAGTATTATTACCATTATTTCATAAGATTCATAAGAAAACTTTATAAGAAAAAAAAAATTTTGAAAATAATTTTATATCATTTGGTTTCTACCAATTATTAAATTTAATTTAAGGTTATCAAATCCTGAATATACTATATGGGAAGTGCATGAAAATGGTGAAGAAAGGCTACTGACACCAGAAGAAAAGCCGCTGCTTGTTCAATTAAATTGGCATAAAGATGATCGTGAGGGACGGTTTCTTCTTAGGCAGCAGTCCTGTGTGACCATTCCTTTCATGGTTATTTTTTAAAGCGATATTTATCGATTTTCTGTATATTTTTCGAAGCGAGTCCTAGTTTTCAGCTGTCAGCTTCATTCCTCATTGTTATTTTTCTATTTCTCGAATTTCGGGATTTCATTTGTCTGTAAATTAAATTTTCTTTCTTTTTTTTTCATTAGTGTTTGCAAAATGATGAAATTTTATAGACCCTTGTACTATATTTACAGGCCCTTCAGGTTGGTAATGCTGAAAATATGGATAACATGCACCGAAATAACAAGAGGTTTTCGAAAAGAGAAAAAAAAGAACTGAAAAAAAAATATCAGCAAGGTGAGTATTGCAATTTATTTTTCCTTTTAACATTTTTTTAATTGCTGATTTTATTATTTTTCATTTTACAGTGCAAAATCATGATTTTTGCCCATTCAGTTTGAGGGTATATAACATTTATCAATATATTATTAAAAAATTTTCTTTTTCACTCCATGTGAATGAGAGTTCTTCTCAACCTCTGGTCCTTCACCGGAGGCCTGAGAGATTGAGAGTTCTGCGCGATATCTTACCTGTTCTTACTAGTGCGATCTTCTGTACAGTGATTTCTGATGTTCTGGAATCTGTTAAAGCCACTTTTCTATAGGGGTCACTGTTTGTAGTGATCCAGTTATCACTGGGACTATTTTGGCCTTCTTTGGCACGAAAAATCGTCAAATCGTATCTATTTTTGAAGTCGTATCTACTTTTAATTTTATTATGCTGTTAATACTGAAGTTAATTTCAGATAAAAAATTTAATTTTGAATAAATAAATTTTATTGAAATTAATTTAATTGTTATGTTTACTTCCAATAAATTGATCAAGCTATGATAAGCTTTCGTGAACTTTTCCTCTGATTGTGTGAAATTTTGGTTAAAGAAAAATTTTTAAGGATTTTAGAATATCTTTTAAATTTTTTGCTTTTTTTAGCCTTGCCTTTGGAATCTGAAAATGCAGCATGTGAATTATATAAGGCGATACCTCCTACAACTTTCACCAGAACATTATCGAATCCAGAAATTGTTATGAAAAAGCGTAGAGAAAGAAAAATTGAAGCAAAATTAAAAGGAATGGGTCAAGGTAAAGTATCAGATTTGCAATTAAGCTGATTTCCAAAAAATTTTTTGATCCATTTTGACTTTGCAGTTTTTCTTTTCCTGTCTTACTATGTAAAATGATTTTTGTAAGGCTAAGGATAATTAATTCATGTTGAATTTAATATTTGGTGACAAAATTTGCTAACAACGAGAAAATGAAATTCAGGTGGCTAGGATTCTTGATTTTCGATCACCCATTTTTTGAATTTATTGCATGTCTAATTCATTTCCACTAAATTCACATTTTTTCACTAATCCATTTTCTTTCTTTATTCCATATTATTTTATTGACAGATTGCTTTCATTTATATTCTTTTATTTTAGGAGGAAGTTTAAAAATTTATGGTTATGACCTCGTTCCTAGTCGGCCCTATGTTACCCTCTTAGTATCAGTTCGAGATCAAGCTTGCAAAATAGTCAAAGAGACGTTAGAGAAATATGGATTGGAGAAGGAGAATTGCGATGATTATATTCTTGTTGAGGTTCTATTTTTTTCTACATTTCGAGGCTCCAGTGTAAATTGTATGATATGTCGGCTGTTGCTGTGGGCCTTTGGTCATCTCTTGAAGATCGATAGATCAATTTGTTGAAGAATAAAAGGAGAAAGAGCGAGTCGAAAACGAAGTTTTTAGATCTTATTCATGATCTCATTTAATTACTGGGTATATGTTGTAAAGAATTTTTTAAAAGGATTTTTTAAATATTGTTTATTTTTCTTCATTTTTTAAAAATATTTTTGTTTATTTTATTTTTTATCGTTAAATTTTAGATATCCCTTCCTGCATCTGGTAAACTGACGCGTTCACTGAGTGATCTTCGTGATATTAACGATGGGCGTCATGAGCGATACCTAAATGACGATGAACTTCCACTTATATATTTAGCTGATCATGCTGGCGATGCATCGAAAGAGATTATGTTTGCTGTTCGCAAACGTCCATCAAATATCCCAACTATTAGACGTTTTCATGGCTCGCTTTCTTCCACGAATTTTGCATTTGGAGTTTCTAAGGATTCGGTTGCATTATCTAGCGATTTTCACTCGTTATCTTCTGAAAATAGTTTGTTACGAGCAGTTAGTCCATGCCTCGTTCATCTTACTCCAGGTAATTTGTTTTTTAGATTTTTGAAAGAATTTTTCCGATTGCTGTTCTTTCTGAATTGTTTTTAGATTTTATTTTTGCTTAATTATCACTGAAGTAGTTTTAAGAGTGCTAATTAAAGTAAATATTTCCTCGATTTCTCTTATTCTTTTTTTTCAAGAAATTTTACAAATTTTTTTCATATTTTTAATTTTCTTATGGCGATTTATAATTAAATCAAATATTAGTGCAAAAAAAAATATTTAAATATTAAGGTAAAATTTGCCTTTTTTCAATAGGGCAGATAGTTAATACTTACCATTTTGCAATAAAAACACATTCATTTCTCTGCCTAATAGAAAGATGGGAGGATTTTGTTAGCGAGTGATTTTGTTAGAAAGGAAGTACAACAAAATTACAGTTTAGAACTACAGTACCATATTTATAATGGATTTATGACGGATTTATATCTATATTTCTTTTCTGAAACGAAAAGTGAAGTTCAGTCCAACTTTTTTCAACAAATTTTGTAGATGGTAAAGAGTTAGCGTCATATTTGCCAATACTGATCGGTCCATTTGTGACTGATATTGGTGGTGATCATTCGATGAAAATTCATTTAACTGGAGAACAAATTCGACCAAGGCATGCTGTTATAAACTTCAGTAATGGAATCGTCACTATTACGCCATCTGTTTTAAATGCTGAAATTGAGGTTTTTTTATGTTTATCTTTCACTTGATTTATTTTTTTTTATTTGCTCAAATGTTTTAAATAGTTTGGAAATTTCCCGTCTTAAAACTGATAGAGTTCATTAGACCATTACAATTTAGGTTAATAATCAGCGGATCTCTCAAACAGTTATGCTTCGTGACGGTGATATCGTATGTATTGGGCGAATATACAATTTTCAATATTATAATTCTCAGGTGATTTTTTGATTAGATTTATTTTATAATTTACGAACAATTTTTGTCAATTTTTGATGGGAACATTCAAAAAAGACATTTAAGTTTATCCTCGAAAATAACAATAACCTCGTTGCCATACTCTTTTGTCATCATTTGTTTCAAATTCAGTTGCAGGCCTAATTACCATTCTTAACCATTAGATCTTGTGCTATATTTTTGGTGAAATTATAAATTATCAAAAAACTTATCATAGTTTGAAATATAGATTAAAGCATTATCAGTCATCTAAAGGATAATATGGTGGGAGCAATGGAGGGAATATAAAAGGAATTGAATTAGGTAGAGAAGAAGGTATTAGAGAGAATAATGGTTGTTTGACAGTCGGATAGATAATCATAATCAGATTGCATTCCCATGTGTTGTTGTTGCATTGGACGATTTATTTTATTAATTATTCATATTCATAATTACATGAATTACATGAATTTCAATTTTTCATTAACTTTTTATCAGAACTTCTCATAGTTTGAAATATAGGTTGAAGCATTATCAGTCATTGATAGTTTTCGCAGACAAATGCCCAGGAAACATTCTCCATCTCGGTATTTTTTTTTTGGTTGTTAGCTTATTCTTTTTTTATTTTTTGAACTATAAATTGTCGTAAATATTTCTGTTTTTTTTTCATATGACCATTCATTTCTAATTACATTTCAAAATTGTTTGCTTTTGCTTTAATCTTTTTGGTTGCTGATTCTAGTAATAAATTCACAAGATCTTATTTTCATAGAATTAAAATGTCATCGCTGAAGAGATTACTAAGATTTCGGAGCAAAAACCGATTATTTAATTTATCGACTTTTTCTACTAAATTTTCTGTTTTAAAAATAATTAAAATAATAATGTAATATAATATAATATAATAAATAATATTTTTTGAACTATAAATTGTCGTAAATATTTCTGTTTTTATATTAATATATAATATATTATAGTAAATAATAATTTTATTTGGTCATTTTTCCAGTTTTAATGTTTTTGTTAATATTTGAACTAATCAACTAATTAAATTAAATAATGAATTAAATTCGTTAATTTTTTGTTATTGAAAAAAGAAATTTTTGGATAGCAGGATTATTAGATAAAAATAGTTGAATCAGCAATATTTTTTTACAATGACCTCATTTCCGTGTTAATCATTCGCTTTATTTTATTTAAATTGACTAATAAATTCGACTTTTTAATCTTTTTTTTTGTGGAGTAGCTCTGTGGAAAATTTTTTTAGGGAAATATTCCAAATTATAAAAGTTCGGGTTTAGATCGGTTAAGAATGAATCTTTATGAAAAAATTGCATTTGATCACTCATCGTTTGCGTGGTATATTTTTTTACATTTTCCTGTTTTTCACAAATCTGTCCATCTGAGAAAATCCATAATTGAAACTAGTAAGACATTTAACAATGTTTTTCAATAGGTGAAAAAAGGTGACTGGAAAAACAGAAAGAAAATAAAAGGATATTTTTATTAGTTTTTTGGACATAATATCACATTATAGTATAGTATTGTTGTAGTATTGTTATTGTTATAGTATTTATTTTTTATAGAAAAAGCTGACTGGTTTGATTGTTTTGTACAATATATTTAATTTTTTTATACAAGTATATACAAATTGTAGTAAAATTTTTGCCAAACATTTGATTAATAGTCTTATCGAATAAAGAAATTAAAATTGCAGCGCAAGGCAACTCTTTTCACAGAAAGCCATGCAAATTGCATCATCAGACGATATATGCAATCGCATATTGTCAATTTGCAGAAACAGCTGACCCATAACTCTTTTCGCTTTTTAGTTGACCTTCGTTTCTTTAGGTGTTTTAAAGTAAATTATTTGCATGAATATTTGTGCCTATTCATGAGTAAAATGAAGAAATATGTGATAAACAATAATTTCTGCTTGAATCGATTGTAACACATATTATTTATATATTTTCTGTGGGCAAACAAATTTTGTAACACATATTATTTATATATTTTCTGTGGGCAAACAAATTTAATTGAACTATCTTTTATAATGAATCATATTGGTTTAGAACCTTTCTGCTTATTTTGATCGTTTATATATACTTATAATTCGTTGGTTTTTTAGTTTTGGCATCAAACGTGATGGGCTCGATGCCGTTCTTTTGGTCAGAGTAAATTGTCACTAAAAGTATAGTCCAGACGGTAGTAAGGATTCAGTGTATATCTCAGAATGGACCAGACCAAAGGGATTTCAGCTTAATAATCGGCGGAACTAGTGAAATGAAAAATGATATGGGCTGGGATAATTATTTTTTTGCAGAATTTATCTCTTAATTAGATTCTGAATTTATTTTGAAAATTATTCATTGAATTCTCTATTCTGAACGAACTTCAAGGTTTTTGCGTTATATTTCCGTTTTTGATATAATTGGTGCATAGAACGCAAAAAGTAGTGAATAGGGAACTTTCATTCCCAGTAAGTTGCTTTTTTTCTCAAATTTGCTTTCACTGTTATTTATTGTTAATATTAATGATATTTATGTTTTAATTATGGTTTTTTTTTAATTCTATTGCTTAACAAAAAAAGAAAACGAGTAATGCGATCATTCATATACACCCATTAAGGACGTTTTTTCCACATATTTGCTTTTCTTTTGCATTTGCACCTTTGAAGTTTAATTCGATTGAGTTACTTTCAAGTTTTTGCATTGAAAAATACATATGTTTTTGCACTCCACATTTTTTTAAAAAATTCTATTGTGTGATCACAGCAAACTATCGACATTGACGATGATGACAGAGACTACCTTCGATGTTTGCGGTAGAGTTTCACAGCGACAACAAGGATTAAATACTTGTGGAGGAAACAATAGATCTGAACAGCATTTATCTACTAACCTGGATCGAATTTCGAACGGATTCTGTAGATCAACTGATGATACATTTATTGCTAAAGATAGATTACAAAGTGCTGTATCTTCAGATAAACTGATAACATCGACGGATTTGTATAATATGTGAGCCAATTTTTTTTCGTTTTTCGCTTTATAAATGCTGATAGATCATGAATGTCTTTGGATTATTAACACCCCAATGTGTTCATCTTTTTATCATGCTCATTTAATTTTTTTTTGTTTATTTGGCTTAAAATTTTCACTTTCATCAGCATATTTTTTGGTTTATGGACTGTGCATCTGGGCATCGCAGTGGTTTTCTTTTGAATCTTTTTAGCTCATGAATCAATAAGTCGATCCATGAATGGAAAATAATATGGAAAATAAGATGAATAATATGCCCATCAATATGGATAGTATAGTGATTATTGTTCAGACCACTGTTTTTTAAAATATTAATATTAAAATGCGAATTTTACCTGATAGATAAACCTTTTGTTAAATTCGAGTAGTGTTAGGGATATATTTTTGCTTCAAGGCTCACTGGCAAAAATTTACCATTGTGCTATCTGCCAGTGAAGCGAGTCAAGCTAGAATTTATGAACCACTTAAGTTATTTGGTTTCTGTTATTTTTATGTTAAACTTGAAGCTTGCTAGTCATTCAGATTTCAGATTTTTAAATAGCTTCGAATATAAGCTTAAATTCATACGTTTTTGAAAAAAATGTTTAAGTAGTCAAATATATGATAATAGAGAAAATATATTATTAATACACACTTATTTAGTAAAGGGGAAATTTAATTTGTGAATTTAAGATTGTATAAATATGGGATGGGTCTCCTCTATGGTTTTTCCTCATTATTGTAGTTTATTTTAAGTCGGTGCTTATCAAATGCTGTTAACATTAAAATCATAAAAACCTTAAGATATCTTAAGAATTTATAAGAAATTTTTTTTTCTGAATTGGATGAAATTAATGAAAGAAAGTGGTTAATTTGCATCACATTGGATTGAATTTACTATCATTTACCACAACATTCTAATGTGTGAGTATTGATATTATTTAGAGTATATCGGCGGTTAACTTTATTGTTTCTTAATGTTTTCAATTTTTTTGATGACCAGTTTCGATGGCTTTGCGTTATTCTTGAAAAAAATTTTCGATTCGGACATAATCGGAATTTATTCTTTGTTCTATTTTTTTAAAATCTAGTTGAAAATTTTTACACGAATTTTTCTGGCTGTTTCTGCTAAATTTTATTCTTGACCTGGAAAAACGGAGTTTTGTTTTGAAAAATTAAATCCAGTCTGAAATCGAGACGATTTTTAATAATTTTCAGAGATTGCCGTAGTCATCTCAATTTAAAATTTTTTTATCCATTTAAATTTAAATCCATTTTTTAAATTCATTTATCAACTATGTTTTTTAAATTCATATTATGAAATGTTTTAGGTTGAACGTTCACAATACCGCAAATGATTCGCTAAAATGTGAATGGCATCATTCGCCACAACATTCCAATGGAGCAATACCTGCATTCCTTGAAGTGCCAAAAAATGGTTGTATAATTTTAAATTAATGCTCTGTCTGAAAATAAATTCAAATTTAAACAATTTTAAAAAAAATCTCATTTTTATTTTATGAATTTTTTATGAAAGATTTCTGCAGTTGAAGATGAATTCATACGATGTGTATTGAGCAAGGAAACTCATCGGATTCAATTTCGTTTAACTCCAGCGTTTGTTATCTATATGGCTGCAAGACATCGAATAGCCAGAAATCGAGCAGATTTATCCGGTGAACATTGCTCTCGTGATTTATGGGCGTTTTTCTTGAAAGTAGCAGAAAGGTTTCGAATTATCATCCAGGTTTTGTTTATTTTCATTATTATTTTTTCGCAACTTCATCTTCTTTTTCTTAATTCAATTTTAATTTTGAACTCCCAATTTTCTTTTGTTTTTATGGCTGCTAATTATTAGTTAACAATTCTCTCAGGATTATGATATGCTTAAGGAAGTAAAGGCTCTTTGGTTGGCAAATATTAGCGAATTATTGAATATTATGAAACAGGTTTCCTTTAATATCCTATTGTACTTCTTGTGATTCATCGAATTTA